TGTTCTGCTTTAATGAGAGAAATGTTTACAAGGGTGTAGGAATATTAATAAGTGAGAAAACTTGTATTTGAATATAATTGTGGGTGAGATAAACCATATTTAGCTTATTTGAAACGAGTTTGAAACCCATCGATTTATCCTGATTTTATCATTTATATATGAATATTACCCAGCACCACTGACAATTATTAATGTTTCTACACTCATGATTGCTCAAAACAAATCTTTTTCAGTGAGTTTTTTTATTCAACTCAAATTCATTAAGAGTTAACTTCAGTGACTATAACTGAATTCTTGTTCCTTTGCACCGCAAATGTTTTAATACTATCAATATATCAGCTAGCTCTGTTAAAATGATGCAACATCAACATAGATAAATACAACTACTATCTTCTGATGATATTGCCATGTTGCTGGAGGACTTGATCAATGTAATGGAGGAGGAACTGGAGAAAACGCCGCGTGCCTTTGAGACGTGTCTCGAGCAAGAATTGTCCACAAATGAAAATTCGTGTGCCGTTGATACGCTTAGAAGTGCTGGAGGTAGACCAGCTTATAATATCAGAAAAGAACAAGTTGAGAAAGTTCGTGATACGGTAATGAACTAGACGAACATTGTTAGCTTTCTTGGAATTTCTACCAGAACATTACACAGGAGAAGAATCGACTTTGGAATTAAGTAAAGCTTCTCAGATATTAGTAAAGCCGACTTAGATGAAGTTAGTCGAAGTCTTCAGTTAACACCTTACAGCGGTGAAAAGTACATCAGGGGTTGTTTGAGTGGCAGAAAAATTCATGTTCAACGCACTAGAATTCGAGAAAGTCTTCAGAGGGTTGATCAAATTGGTAAATGCATTCGGAAACGTTTTGCAATCTGCAGGCGTGTCTATAATGTCAAAGGTCCTAATTAATTATGGTACATTGATTCAAACCAAAAACTGATCGCACAAAGATTTGTAATCCATGGTTGCATAGATAGATTCAGCCGAATGATTGTTTACCTGCATTGTTGCACAAATAACAGATCTGACACTGTCCTTGAATTATTTCAAGGTAAAGTTCAGAAGTTTGGCTTACCCACTCGTGTACGAGGTGATTATGGCAGTGAGAATGTGGATGTGTCATGATTTTTGACAGAAAGATCGAGGCAATGACAAGGGAAGCTTCATAGCTGGAAAAAGTGTGCACAATCAAAGAATAGAACGATTATGGGCTGAAGTGAACAGAGTGATGTCAGCACTTTACAGAGACATATTTTGATTTTTAGAGAACAATGGTTTATTGAACTCCTTTAAAGAAATTCATCTACGTTTATCTAGTGCGTATAAATGCATCATTACATGATTTCAACATGTCAATACATCACTACCAGTTAAAAAATGCATTAATCTTTCTCAAAATTTCTTGCCATTTTGGATTTTGAAGAACGTGTCGAATGTGTGGCGTTTTCTCAGTTCCACCTGCACTAAGTGATATAAAGAATTCATGCCAAAAATTTGTCAGAACATCTTGCAGCACACCTGCACCTTCTCCTTTTTCTGGGTAGCCATTTGCATTTTAAATGTGATGTTCAACCTTTGCTTCAGGATTTCTGGATCTTTAAAAACATCAATAATATCATGGTGAACCAATGAGCGGTGCACAATTACTCTTTCCAATTTGGAATAGTTTTGCAACATGAAATCGTCATCTTCAAAGAGGTGAATTTCTTGCATCACTAGATGAACATTGAGATTGTGTTGTAATATTGAAATGGAGATTGTGCTGTAAAAAATTGTCATGATTCAGCAATAAGATAAAGCATAGTGGCCATATAACGTTTAATGCAACTAACCTGAAGTATCCTATACACCAACTGCATGAAGATCAGTTATATATTGTAAAAAATTGTGTACTGTCTCTGGAGGCCATTTAAAATGGAGATTGTGCTATATCTCGAGCTTAATCCAATGGCTCTTGATTGGCGTCGGTAGAGCTTATTGACATTGGTGCATCACCAAACAAATCAGGCAAATCTTTATTAAAAATATAAGAAGGACTTCACAAACTATTCCTGTGATGTGTATTAAATTAAGTTTCTCTATTAAAGACAATGACCTAACATCAAAGCCCCCAGCAAACCCAGTTTTTAATGGATACTAAAAGCACTGTATTCCATAAATTCTACAAATACGACATCAATTGCATCATAAATAATTACTATTTGAAATATCAATGATAATGATGTCCTGGACGTGCAAGTTGTATCAATCAGTAAGTCACACTATTTTTTGCAGTATACTGCACATATTTTTTTGTATAATTAGCACCACTGATTGTATAGCACTAACTGTTTACCTTATAGAGGAATATCTTTTATCTTTAACTCTAATAAATTTCATAAACTTGTATTAGTCGTACTTGTTAAAGTTTGCTGTGTATCAAACGAAATATAATATGCATAATATTACTTAGACCGTATTCAATATTTCATGACGTTTACCCATGTTTTAATTGCAATATTGTCAATTCAGGCTACAAACATGTATGCTCTGCGTACCTGTTTCTTAGTCATATACATCAACACATTATTCCAGCACTTTCCAGGTTTAGATGTTTGAAATGAGAGATGAACAAACAAACATAACTAAGTTGGGCTGAATATTCACTTTCTCGTCGTTATTAAAAATGTCTTAGCGTCGTCATTAAACAGATTTAGATTTGAGGACGTCAAGTTTAAGACGGCGTGAGTTGACCGAGGCGGTCTGGGTCAAAGACGCCGTCGTCTTTCATGTGAATAGAAATTTCGATATACAAAGACGACGGTTTATTTCTACGAATGAACATTCGAAGTGTTAGGCTCTTTTACTTCTTCAATTTTTATGATTGGTACATTGGGCATCCTTGCATTGTAGGAATATGAAGTAAAGCAAATAGAGTACTGCAATATTTTATTGGAAATTGATAGAAAACTTGATAACTGACACTTTATAATGTATATCTCTGTCTGTCGTGTAGTTCTACTATTTCATGGTATTTTAATAAGATTTCAAACATTCAAATTTGTGTTCTCTTACTTATGTTTTTCTATCGTCATATGTCGTGATTAAAAAGTTTACTTTTTTGACATAATCATGTCGCGTTGCAGTCTTGAAGCTGTTTAATGCTTTAATTTTTTCTTATGCTGATAATTTAATTGACGACGATGAATTCGTATTGCTTTATAATTATAATATGTCAAAACCACTTTTTCCTTCCCTGAAGTTTAATAAGTTCAAGACAGTTGGGATGATGTTGAATGTGTGACTGAGTTACGTTTTCAGAAAGATGATTTGTCGTCACTGAGGAGATGTTTCAGCATCCCAGATACAGTTGTATGTGATCAAGATGCAGTTTGCAGTGGTATAGAAAGTCTGCGTATTTCATTGAAGATGTTGTCATACCCATGTCGATATACAGATATTGCTCATAGATTTATAATAATAATAATAATAATAAGGACTTTATTTGAAGAGGGGGACACGTAAGAGCTAAAAAGCTGACAAACCTGTGGCCCTCTAACTAAATTATACAGCATTACAAAAAAACTGATAAATGAATAAATATATAAATAATTACAAAATTCTATGATAAAAATAGCAGGACACATAAAAAATATTCAGAAAGATAAAATTAATTTATAAAAAATTAAAATTAAAATTAGGTAGTGTGCTATTGCTTAATATGGTTTCAAAGTTGTCCAGGTTTTTATATGAGCTTATAAAATGCTTTTTCACAGCTGTTTTGAATAGATTTATACTAGGCTTTTTTTGATATCATGGGGAAGGCTGTTCCATAACTTAACTGCGTCAACACTGAATGCCTTGCCACCATCGTTATTTCTTAGGTATTTGGGACACACTAAATTTAAATTGCCATGTCTCGTGGACCTATTGTGAACAGAATTGTTCGTCTTGAACAAATCTTTGATATCAATAGGAGCATCGCATTTGAGGCTCTTAAAAATCATGGCACATTTAAAGCACGTATTTAAAGCAGCTATTTGGACGAAGCCCATCATAGTTGTACCTTATTTTTAATAAAGTGTTGGATATAATACACAACAACAATCAATAATGCCTGGCAAGTTGAGACCAACCTTTCTTATCTCAGGACAAGCTGCACAACTATGCACAAGCAGTAAATGATCTTGAAGCTCCATTATTTAATTGCTTTGGATTTGTTCATGGTACTGTGCGAATAATACCACGCCCAAAGTACAAAAAAGGATAATATAGAATAGCTATAAGCGAATCTATGCCATTAAATTTCAAAGTATTGTTTTGCCAAATGGTTTGATTGCAAATTTAACTGATCCATATGAAGGCAAAAGACATGACTCCACCATACTGCAAGAATCTCGAGTATTGCTTAATATACGACGTGCTGCTTTCTATAATGAAGAGCCACTTTTTTGTATGGCGACCCTGCATATCCTTTAGGTGTTCACCTTCTTTATTGGCCTTTTAAAAATGCCCATTTTACGTAACAAATGGAAGCATTATATTTATAGCAAGTAAGACCATTATATTTAATTACTCTTTCCATAGCATAACAAAATGTACACAAGCAATTATATAAGGCAGATAACTGGCCATGACTAGCACAAAAGATATAACTTCAAAAGGTTTTCGGAAAAAATAATGCATACCTAGCCCCCAGTGTCGGTGGTATTCATTACCACTCCATCAATTAATGACTATTACATACTTCAAATTTGAACTCATTACTTTCATGACAAAGTTTGCAAGGGTTATTCATTTGATTTATAAATTATTGGTTGTAAGTTACATCCTGCTTTACCATGTCTGACTGTCTAATTTGCTAAGATTTATTTTTATGTATGGAGCGATAATTATGGCTTCTTGAAGACTGGGGACAGCTTAATCGACAATTAGTTGACATAGAAGAACTTTAATTCGAAATTGTTGTTTCAAACTTATATGCACAAATTTTCTCAAACAAGAAATTAAAAACGACTGTACTTTGCTTTTTTTTTATGTTTTATTGCCACATTATTAAAAATCTATAGGTATTTACTTGACTTTAATATACTAAACTGTTTTCATCTATGTTCATCATCTTCTTTTTCATTATACTAGTGTATGGTTTGATCTCAGACTAGAGAAAAAGAGCATATAATACAATTAAAACAAATTATCAAATTTTAAGTTACTACTGACGTTCCCTCTAAAAATTATGGAATTAGTATAGGCTATGACATTATATATATATTATATAAGCTTGAAAATTGGTAATCCGGGCATTTAATGTATAAAAATGAAAGTTTTTTCGGATTGTAATGAAAATATTTTGCAGTGCTTCGAGACTTCATCAAAACTATATAGGAAGTTATTTCCAGCTATTTTTAATTTGTAGACTTTTAAAGCGTCTAATTGGATTAGCGGGTGGATTAATATGATTGAAGGTCTGGAATGATTTGTCATTGTCGTCATTGGGACAGCTTAACTTCTTGCACAAATGCAAACAAAAACGGCAACGCATTCCTCACCATCCAGTCATATTAATCCACCCGCTTATCCAAATAGACGTTGAAAACATCTACAAATTAGAAACAGTTGCAAATAACTTACTGATAAGTCTGATGAAGGCTCGAAGCACCTAGTCGAAAGCTCGATAAAATAATTACCTAACAATCCGGAAAAACTTTCATTTATATATATATTATATAATATATGACATTATTATTTATAAAATAAACACAATGAAACTCGTGCGCTGATTGGTTTAGAAATGTGCTTGTATTAGCCTGCGCAAAACACATCCGAGCTCAATCAATTAAATCAAACATCACAAGCAATCAGTCAGAGAGAATTTGCAAATCGATCATGAATACATTTTAGAGGAGAAATTAGAATGTTTGTCTGTTTCACATTATTGTTATTTCATAAAAGAAATAAAAGATGTTTTTTATGTATGCACTGGTTTATGCAAACCGTGGCGACGTTTGTAAGATATCTCAAGTCGGTGCAACCCTCGACCTTCGGTCTCGTGCTTCCAATGATCTTCTCTCGAGTTCTCCCTAAGGTCTCCTCGGTTTGCATAAGCCCGTGCAAACACAGTAAACATCTTTTATTTTTTAAATACTATATAGAGTGCATTGCTATAATTTTTTTTATTGTGCTCACTGCGCATGCGCAGTTGGATAACTTTAGGATTGTGTAGAGAGTCTCATGATGAACGTTCATCACTTTCCCGCTATTTAAAGCTCGCCTGTATAGTTTTGAGCACTCTGGTGGCTCTACAAAACAATCAATACTATGTGTAACCGTACATCCTGTGTCCCAAGTGCAGCAGTCATTATTGCGCATTGATGATTGCCCAAAGGGCACATTTTATACACTTTGTGTAATATGATAAGATGTATGTATATAAGGTTTTAGCACATGTATTTAAAAATAGTATTGTTGTATGGATAAATAGCTGCAATTATACCTAGGCAAAATCAATGTTTTCAACAGTTTTCAGCAATTCTAAGTTCTTTAAAAAATATCATATTAGAGCATTCGTGATTCGTACCTCGAAACATCTTGCAACATTTAAGCTTATCAATGTTATGAAGCCAGTCTCCATTACGATCTTTATACAATCCAGCGACGTAATAACCAATTCTTTTGCACCTTGACCATCCTTTCTTGTCAAAGGTTTGTCTGGTAAGTTCGTTGTAACAGTTAACATACTTGTTCGGATGACCTTTTGGCTTGCAACATTTCCCCAGCTCAATATTGTGTAAGTTGTTTCCACTTGAACGATACAGGCCATTTAGAAAATATCCTCTTGGACAAACACTCCATGTTCCAGGCCTGAATTTTTTAATGAGAAACAAGTAAAACATTACGTTATTTTAAAATTTAATACTAAGTGACACACAGATTTTAAAATTGGCAATGATATTCTGATATCTGTCTTATTTAAAATACTCTTATTCTGTTGAATAAGTTGTTTTATTGCTGCATAAAATTACAGCAGTTTTTCAAATTTTATGTGGGTCTGACTTATCATGTTTTGCTTTTATGAGAGAAATGTTTACAAGTGTGTAAGAATATTAATAAGTGAGAAAACTTGTATTTGAATATAATTGTGGGTGAGATTAACCGTATTTAGCTTATTTGGAACGAGTTTGATACCCATCGTTATATCCTGATTTATCATGCATATATGAATATTACCCACCACCACTGACAATTATTAATGTTCCTACACTCATGATTGCTCAAAACAAATCTTTTTCAGTGAGTTTTTTTATTCAACTCAAATTCATTAAGAGTTAACTTCAGTGACTATAACTGAATTCTTGTTCCTTTGCACCGCAAATGATTTAATACCATCATTATATCAGCTAGCTCTGTTAAAATGATGCAACATCAACATAGCTAAATACAACTACTAACTTATCCAATGTTTTCACCCAGTAGCCATTTTTGCAAATGCTTTTACGGTTCTTGTACTTTAGTGTCGATTTGCAACATCGTGCTGCTTCAAGCTTAGAAATTTCGTCTTTTTTAAAACTGGTAAGTCTGCTCCGATAAAAACCAGTAATAAAACGCCTGATGTTGCCACAGTGAGACCATCCTTTTTTATCAAATGATTTCCACCAATTTGCATTCAAGCAAAAAGATTCAACTGAAACAAATAACATGTTTTATTTGTAGCATTAAATGTCATACTGAATTTACGGAGCAACAGTTTAGAAAACTAACACATTTTAATTTATGATGTATTAGACTACAAACTTTGAACTGTCTCTAAAAATAGTACAATGTGTAAAAAATGCTAACAATACTACAGGCCATTAAAGAAAAACATTTTTTTCTATGCTATACTGTACTGAGTTCTTGCTGTTCTAGACTACTCCTATTTTGAAAATACGAACTGTATTGTAAATTTTATACTGCATTCGAGAGTGATGTTTGTTTACAAAGTAAATAATATAAACTTGATTATTTTACAGAGATTGATTGAAATGGCAATTATTACCCAGTTGCCTTTGAGTTCAGTTTTTTGGAAATCTTTTTTGGTAATTATATCGTTCAAGCACATTTTTATGGAATGTTTTCTAAATGTACAATAGTGTTTTTGATTACAAAACTCTTTCCTATTTGTTTCCTATTTGTACCAAACTGGACGATCTACATTTACAAACATGTAACGATACTCCCGGGTTCAAACCATTTACGATATAAACAATATTATTAAACAGTCTTATAAGTTATATTATTATATTTTTTTCACTTAATGTCATGATGTTTTTAATTTTTAGTATCTTTATTTCTTGGTATTGTTAGTAAATCATTTCTCATAGTAAATTATTTATTATTGTCACAATTGGTTACTTCAGGCTCTTGGAAGTAGTTGCCCTGACTACCTTAAAATTTACTTACCTCAAGTGGTCGCCACTCTAATTTCACTTACTTTCGGGAAGCACTTGATTTAAGCTGCTATTTTCATCTTTGGCTAACTCCTGTCCTTACGTCTCAATGCACGGAATATAAAAGGTGTTTTTCAGTGAATTTAAATCAGTGAAAGGTTGTGGTAGTTGCCACATAGGTGAATGAACGCTTTATTTCGACAAAAGTGCAATTTCTTGAAGCTCTTTAAAAACGTCATTTTGTGGAAAGGTATTACTTTTAAAGGGGCAGAAACTTACGGGGGGTTAATTAGATATTTTAATAAAAGTTTAAAAGGCAGCTATTTTTGAAGGGAAAAGGCACTCATTTCAGGAGAGGCTACGTTTTAGAATTACGGCATTCGTTATGCGCAGGTATGGTTTTTTAATAAGAATTACCGTTACATTATGTAAAATCCTAACTAATTTGCTAACCTGAAACTACTCTAAAGTGATATTTAAGTTTAGTTTCTATATTCTAGCGTAGAGACACGCATAACTTACGTAATTGCTTAAGCAATTCTTTCTTTCTGGTTTTGTGTTTTCATTAAACAGCAAGATTTTGGTTACGTTCATGATACTCAAAAAAATTTCAAGAATAGTGACAAAGAATGTATTAAAAAATATATACAAAGCAAACTTACTTTGACAGTTCTTCCCTTTGTAACCATGTCTACATTTACATTGATAAGACGTTCCAATATTTTTACAAAGGCCACCGTTTTTACAAGGCCTTCTTGCACAAGCATCTGAAGAATAAATGGAGTATAAGTAACGTTTTTTGCTTTGCAAAATAGATTTTCAAATAAAAAAATTAAATTCCTGATTTTTATTGATATTTTGGGTACAATATTATAAAATTCTCACAATGTGCATATTTCTTAAAAATACATACAAATCACAGTTAAAGACAGAGAAGTCGAAAACAATAAGATAGTCATTCATTGTAAAACTTTGATTTTTTTGTTTGTTTTCTGATTTCCTTGGTGAAATTGGCCTTCATAGATATTGTAATTTTCATTTATAAAATAATGTGTACATTAGAAAATTCAGACTAAGAGTTTGATGAAGCACAAGTACTTTTCAATATCACAAATGCATTTATAAAAACTCAGTTACAGAAAACTTTATTGTTGCCAAAGGAACTTCAAACTTTGAAAAAATGTTTCAACAGCAACTAGTTGCAAAGTAAGATTTTAGAAACTATAGGCAAATCTATGATTTTAGACAATAAGCATAAAATAATATTTCTTATTCTTACGAATAAACATTCTGCAGCATTTCAAATAGTCAATATTGTGAAGCCAATTTCCTCTGCCTCTTTTTAAACCAGCTATGTAGAAGCCAACTCTCCCACACGTTGTCCATCCTTTCTTATTAAAGGCATATTTAATGGATTTGTAGTAACAGTGACCATACGTTTTGGGATGATTGACTGGTTTGCAGCAATATCCCATTTCGATATTGTGTAAATTGTTTCCCTTTGTACGAAACAGGCCATTTAGAAAATATCCTTTTGAACAAAAACTCCATGTGTTAGGCCTAAAATGGTTTTTTAATATAAAAAAAGGAATGCAATACTACGTTATTGTTAAATTAGATTGTAAAATGTACAAGTATTTACTGATATTTATCTTGACTGGAATAAAAGTATTTTATTGTGTCAGTTTTTGTTTGGCTCATGAGAAATATTTAATCACAATTTATTAACTTATATGTCAGATTTATCAGGTTTTTTAGTTTGTATTTTATGAATTTTTTATACACAACAGTAATCATCAAGTAACCTTCATCAGTTAAATGGAAAATTAACTTTAGCAAACGGGCCGAATTCTAGTTCATATCTTGATAAGTGTAGTTGCCTTCAACACTATTTTTCTGAAAATTATGCACTGTATACATAGTATGTTTACAACTACTGACTTGTTTAAAGATCTCCACCAGTTGGCGATTTTACAAGTGCTTTTACTTTTTCGGTATTTTCGACTTGATATGCAACATCGTGCTTCTTCAAGCTTGGAAATCTCATCTTTATTAAAACTAATAATTTTGCTACGATAGAAGCCAGTTATAAAACGCGTTTTGTCACCACAGTTTGACCATCCGGACTTGTTGAACGAATTCCACCAATTTGCGTTCAAGCAGACACGTTTAACGGCAGCTGGAATAAACAAATCATATATTTATAGCATAAGACAAAGGTATAATATTAATATCTTCACAACCAATTGCAAAAGCACAAATTTCCAAAGACATAAATGACCCTTGAAGCAGCAAAGCTTTACAAAAGTAAATTTAACAATAGAAAATGATTAATTTTATTGTGATGCAATAATTCTTATTATTAGTAGTCAGAATTATATTTATTATTGGAGTTTTCCGTTGCTTAGAAACCTTATGACTGTTTCGTTTTTTCGCACTTTTCTAATGAGACGGCGTAAAGAGTAAATAGCCAATTTAATAATAGTATTGAGCTCACAGCTGTATTATTTATTGAAATTTTGACTGTGTTTAGACATATCGTTGTCACTATATTGATAAGAAAATGCAAAACATTAGAAGCCAACATGGTAATTAATCTCCTGCATTAATTAAAAACAAAGTAGACGCTCTGTTTCTTGCAATAATTGTGATATATGTTTATTGTAACGGCCTGTATGCAATCATGCTTTTGTTTGTAATGATTATATCCATGATAGCAAATAAACTACGTTCTGTTGTATGACATAAATGAAAAGTTCTATATGTAGCACGACATATACGGCTTATAAAACTTGAAAACATATAAGTAAAAGCGAAATTTGTTTTGTGCTATAAATGTATTGATTTCATCATTTCATTTGTAATTACTTCAACCATAATAAATGATGCAAATGCAACGATCTTAAAATATAAAAAATTACTGATATCTTTAAAAAGGTTTTGTTAATTTTGTTACTTACCTTTCTTTGCATTTGCTGAAAAGATCTAGGAGAATAAATCAAAAAGATGAATTTTTGCTACTGCCTTCCTCAAGTTAACACGCTGTACAATATTCTGAGTTGCTTTTGCACAATTGCTTGTTCAGAAAAATAAACAAAATTTTATAGTACAGTACATAAAAATGATATTGCTTAAATGGTAGTCTGCACGACTTTTTCTTTTGTTCTCAAAATCGTATTTCACGGGTGCCTATTTCTGGTTTAAAATTTGTTTACCGACTGGTAATAGATAAATATATATATTCGCTCCTAGTCTATAGCCTGTAAAAATTCATGGTCTTAGAATTTTATGAAGCAGCAATTCAATTGTTAAAAATGATTTGCAGTTTGCGTTTACACATGTAAAATATGTGAGTAAATTTATCCTTTCTCTGTAGTAAGTATTGAACATAAGAAAATTAGTTAGATAGATTAGTTTAGTAACATTAAATTTGTTACATACCAGTGACAGAACACTTCCAGCAAATACAAGAACAAGTAATTTCATGATACCCTTTTGACAAACTTTTTGCTTCCAATTCTAGTATAATACGAATGTCTTCGAAATATGTAAGAATTTGTGTCCGAAGCAGTTCTTTTATGCCCTCTGCTTGCAGCTGTTTCTTTTCAATTGTCAAACTTTCGTCGGCCCCCCGTAGAGTGCCAAAATGTCTAATGACACAAAAATGTTGGAAGAAATTGCCCTGGTTTCGAACAAACAATTTAAGAGTGTCAGAAATCTGTGTATCTATTGTTTTCAATTATTATTTCCACAAAAATGGAAATAATTGAAAAAAATCCTTTCGCTCATTATTGAAAATTACACCTTTTTTCGTTGCAATTTAAAAGTGCATAAAGCATTTTTTTGTATGGGGCTCAGATCAGAAATTTGTGAGTTAGACCATATTGTACTGATTTAAAATTTATTTCTAATTTAAAAAAAGGTTGAATGCAAATTAATTGACAAGAGTTGAAAAATATTTTAGATGTAATGAGATGATTAAAATAAAATGCGATATATAGTTGTCATGTAGGAGCAATTTTGTAATACAAAGTCATAACTCATTATTATTTTATTTACTGTGTTTAATTTTCCTCGTGTTTTTAGCGCTGAAATTTATCCTCACTCAAAAACAACTGACAGATAAAAGTGCTCATGGGACTGCATTTGCAAATGAAGTATTTGTAAGTACTTAAGAGGAAGGATTATAATGCTAAAGAAGTACATACCATCAGAAACCGGGCTGAATATGTGAGTATTTATCCCCCTTTCCCGTTTTGGTTTTATCAATGCATGCCATGTTAAAATCCGTTGACAAATATGTCAAAAAGACGTTTCTTCAAACCTTAAATCTGCTGTTCATGTTAGGCACAAAGCCATTATTTAGATTGCAGTTGACCTCTTTAAGATTAAAAATTTATTTAATGGCAAAAGAACTGCAATTATCATAAGATCATATGTTCAGTAAAACTGTGTTATTTAAGAGCAATTGTTGCTGCATATGCATGGAAACGCTTGCTATAAACTACAGTGCAATTTTTAGTAAGGTAAGAAATTATGTATTTCACTTATCACAAATAACCAGGGACGCCTTTTAACCGTACCATATCGGTAAATTTTGCTATAATTAAGTCCGTTTAGGTGTTCTATTAAATTTTTTGTGATTGAAAACCGTATTTCCAACAGCACGAATGTATCGAGCTCGTTTGAATGAATTTGGATACACATTACTTGCTTTAATGCTAATTTTGCTTGGTAATTAAAGATGCAGTTATAAATGTTGACCCTAAATATTATAAATTTACCAATGTACAAAGTAATAGAAAATAAATTTCAGCATTTTTAAGAGTAAAAAGCCTTTGTAATTAGGTAAACTTTGTATTAACTGAATTAATGAAAATTGCGGCAGTTTGATCATTTGACAATTTCCAAACGTAACAGACAGCAAACTTATATCATCTGGCTGAAAAATATCTAAAAATGATATAATATGCAGCAAAATGCTTTGTATACTTCAAATATCAAGGCACAGCTTATTGCAATCTGATTTACGACGCAATAAGCTCTGCATTAATCTTTGAAGTATACATAAAATTATAATATTCTTAACGATTTAAAGCACACACGATTTTACCCACAATTTGATATATGATGCTTCGTAAAATGAAGCATCATATATCAGATTCTGATAAAATCCACTAAACAAGTGGTTCTTTAAGTCCTTAAGAATATATTTACGTTTAATTAAAAGGCTGTCAGTTTACATCACATATTTACCAACCACATGTTGAAAATTGGATAAAATTTTGTAATAATTACAACAATTATTGGCATTACAGCGTAAAATACGCAAATGGTGAAATAATAAACGACATGTTCATCGCCTCACGTTAAAAAAATGACAATAGATGCGCACAAAAAAAAGTAAACCTGCTTTTCGAATGAAATATTTTTAAGTACTTAAAGATGGGGCTTATATTGCTGAAGGAACTGCATACCATGTCAGCAATTTTGAGAACAGATGTCAACAATACGTTGCTACGTACGTATTTCACATAGTCCAGAAAAGAAAGAAAAATTGTTGATATAAGCCGTAATTGCAGATGATCACAATGTCGATTATTGATTTGGTAAAAGATTTTTTTCTATACAACATGTCTGTATGACCAAATGTGTATTCTACTTTTTTTGTGTAAAAGTAAATGCTATTCTTTGTGAATATAGAACCGAGAGTACTTCAAACTGTTATGTTTCTCAATTTAATAGAGCATAAATTAAATATGTTTGAAAGTGAATTTATGTTCAAAATATGGTTGAGAAACACTCCTTCAAATGTTGTTTTAACCATCATATTGCTTTTTGTTGTTTTAACTGAAGCGAAACAAACCAAATAAAACTAATCAGAGACATCGCCGCTTATATTATTTTGTTATTTCCTTAAAAACGAATAAAGATTATTTCTGTCTTGCGGCTAGAAAAAAACTGAGAAAAAAATTAGGAGCGTAATGCTTGTGCTAAAGACCGTAAATACATGAATAGATCTGCACTAAAAAAGTATATTTTTATATAGATTTAATTTTGCAATGAATATACCCTTAAAGAAAAAGCTTTTTGTCTTTATGTATCCAAAAATGAGGATTCTTAAAGAAAACCAATTCAGTTACGTTTTCGTTTTTCTTGACATTTTATAAGTTATATTTACATGTTTTTCACATGTTTGTATACAATTTGAATATGTGCTGAAAACCTTGACAATGAAAAATGCACCTCTTGGGAAAGATTTGAATAGATTTGAACCATTAACTTTTCAAACACTATAAATAAATCTAAAACTTTTGTCCAAATTATATGTAGCTACAATAGCAAACAGTAAACTTGACTTTCGGTATAAGCGTCTCAGCACAAGGCTTCCTGTATGCTTGTTATTGTATGTTAATATTGTTTAAAATCACTTCAAATGTAGACAAAAAGTGGGTCATCACACAAAATAAAAAAATGTTGTCTAAGAAAGAGTTGGACGCCGCATTCACACAAACTTAAATTTAAAGAGCGAAATACAATGCAATGCTAAATTTGTTATTTTTTATTTTTTGTTCAAGTTGAACTGAATATGTTCTTTTGATTTGGAAATATAATATTGAATACTTATAGCGACAGTAAACATAACATTGCATGACCTTTATAATTGCCTGGATCATTTTTCCTCGTGTTTAGCCACATATACAACTGTTCTTTTATACCATCTTATTTTCTAAAGTTCGTACAACAAAATTAGCAAAATTACTGAAATTTTGTCGAATGATTTTTTAACATTGATAAGTGTAGAACAAAGGTCATTTTTAAGTTTTGTCTGCTTTACTTCAAAAAAACTCTGTCATTGTTTGTTGCGTATGTCATGTACACTATGTTAACACTGGATTGCAGAGTAAAAACGTAATCTAATTTTACCATTGTATACAAGCATTATTCTTAAATTTATTTCATATTGTAAATAATAATGAAAATATACCGATGAAAATAATGCACATAGTTTTAAAACAACGACTTTCCCGTACATGTGCACTTCTGAAGTCAATTTGTAACGTCCTGAGACATCCTATACGGATTTTATATTTGTTTTTTTTTGTTAGTCTTTAACACGGAACGAATGTGTTATAGCCAAAGTAGAAGCGTTGAAGTTGCAACAAATCATTGTGATACGTTACAATGTTTTTCGGCATTATTTGTTGTTTGTAGCATATGTTACGCAGTTTTCAATGCCCTTGCTTGTATTGCAGTTGCAGCTCATGTTTTGTTACAATTTCCTATGGTTTTTCCGTGTTGGAGCAGTCAACTCTCTTTAAATCTTCTATTATCTATTGATATGAAGGTGCACATATTGAGCTACTTTAGCGCGTTGCTGTGCGCCAGCGTGACAGTATACAGTACTTTATACGCCACCGTTATTTATCCCGCAACCTATGTACTGGCAAAATTTGTGTTTGTCTGTTAGAATTCTTAGGGAGATTTTTACTGAATGAGTGTCGGAAAAAAATTTAATCTTGCAATTAGCTGAGTGCCATACAGTGATATTTACGTCTAAAATCTGAAAGCTAAAAATGCAACTTTAAATTCAGAAAATACTAAAATCGTTAGCCGTTAATATCATGTAAGCTTTGCCTAAAGTTATTTTTGACATTAAAGGACACATGCAACATAAAATTCGGATTTTTATTTTTGTACTTTACTTAAAGGTATAGCTCCAACTAATAGTTCACCAAAGTTTGAGACTCAAAGGAGAAATGTTACTGAAGATATGGAGGTTTAAAGTTGATGCTTTACTAATAACGTATTGAAAATGCCCGACGAGCTAACGACGGCTACCGATTGGAAAAAGGTCATTGTGACGTAATAATTGACATTAGCTAAACGCGGTCAATTACGCGCTTCGTTCAAAATATATTGGTAACTTCTCAACAACATGACAATTTAGCATTGAAAATTTGGTTTATTGTGCCGCATTTAATTGTACAAACAGTTCTTCTAAGAACCACCAAACGCAGCAAAAGGATTCTTTTTGGTTTCCGAAACAAGCACATGCGAGATATTTGGATTGAAAAAATCCGACGCAAAAATTGGAAGCCAACAATGAGCTCAAAATTGCTCTCGCAACATTTCGAGAGTTCGTGTTTCGTGCAAAATTTTGAAGCGATGCAATCAGTAGGATGGACAGCAGGACGGCTTCGCCTTAAGAAGGATGCTGTACCCACGACTTTTGAATACTCTGTGGAACCCACAAGTGTAGCATCTAAAAGGAAGCAGCCAACAAATGTTAGAACTGCATTTGAGAAGAGACGAAGGCAAGAGGTGAATATTATAGTTATAGTTAGCAATATTTGTTTACTTTTATCAAAAACTAAGCTATTTAGCATTACCAAATTGAAGACAACTTTATAATTTTAGATTATTGACGACGTTCTTGCAGAACATGACGACTTTCTTGTAGACGACGACCACGATGTGTCGACATTGGCTCGAAATGTTTGTGCGTATTTCCTCAAAGGAAGTTTGTCTAAGATAAAAGATGTCAAAATATATGTAGACAGCGAAACACAAACATATACAGTGGTAACTAATTCAGACTAATGTCTTTTGATTTTTATGTTATTTTAACTCATAGAAAGTTCCTTAACGTACCTTAGAAGCGCAATGTGAAATGCCAAGCAGACATAACAATCCGCCCGCATAAACACGTAAGGTCAAGAACCACTCAAACAAAAGTGCCAAATATGATAAGTAGAGGTATAGACTTTCCATTTCAGCCGTTTTGATTTTTGTGAAAAATCCAGCTCTACGATAATTTTATGCTAAGGTACAGAGGTTCAGTTCATTTCAACAAAAGCACAGCACACAGACGACGTCATGTGAAATTGAACATTTTGAGGATAGCGCTGTATGGTCTGATACAGAAAGCACGTCGACGATGAGCAATAGCTACAATGGATCAGACTCTCAATGTTCAAATGAGTTAAGCGAAAATGAAGAATCCGACAATGACAATGGACGTTAGTACCAACTATTCAGCCACCTGACTATTCTTTACATTGCTTTTCTCTGTCATATGTTTCTCAGAACGTTACGTTTATCTCTCTCTGATTCTGATGGTAATTTTTATGCTATAGGGAAGATGCTCAAAATGAGAGAAAATACATAGTGTTTGATAGTTGCCTGAGACCGTTAGTGAGTCAATGCCCATGTTGTGGTGAAAGCTGTTCCATTGTGACAAAAACAACTGGTAGTATGGTTAACGTACTAGCAAAATTTCATTGTGGTTATGTTCGAGACTGGAATAGCCAACCACTGCATGGGCGAATGCATTTGGGTAACTTGGTCTTTGCTGCCAGCATCTTGTTTAGTGGTAGTAGCCGCAGCAAAGTTCTTCAATTCCTTCGTCACTCAGGCATACAATTTCTGTCAGAGCGTACATATAGCTATATTCAAACAGAGTATTTGATACCCAGTGTTTCAAATATTTGACTTATGCACCTAAAGCATCTTCTAGAATCAATCAGAGAAAGGAACATTAACCTTGGAGGACATGGAAGATGTGATTCGCCTGGATATTGTGCCAAGTATGGGTCATATAGCTCCATGGATTTGGAATCTTACAACATTTTAGACACACAACTTGTTCAAGTAACAATTCTTCAACAACTGTACATAAAACATGATTAGAATACTCACATAATTATGTTAAACAGTCCAATGAAGTGTCCAACTTTGTAGCAATGGAACTTGAGGGATTAAAAAGATGTCTGGCAAAGTTTGATGAAAGTGGGATGAAGGTGAAGTCAATGACCACAGACAGACATGCTCAAATCAAATCCTACATGTCAAAACAAAGACCAAAAATCGAGCACTACTTTGATGTATGGCATGTAGCAAAAGGTATAGATTGTCATAACAAACCAACCTTTTACACATTTTATCAATAATCAAAACCCAACAGGAATCAACAAGAAAAATACCCATTTTTTCTACAGATCAATGGAAGCAAGGTAATATAATTATGACTAGTGTATGATTACTTAAAAAAGTCATCATTGCAAAAGCAATAAGTTGCAATAGTTGTAAACATAAACTTAACATTCATTTGTAGATTGTTTATTGCCGCTCTTCATTTCATTGAGAATGGAAATAAAGTTCAGAAAACGAAGAATGGTGGGCAAACAGAAGAGGCATTGATTTGGAGAGTGGCTTATTCAAAGTCAAAAGAAGGACAAGGGGTTATCAAACCAGTGAAAGTTGACAGCACTTATGGTTAGCACAGAACAATAAACATACCTTTTCTCAGTGCAATGCAAATCCAACATAAATATTGATTTGCTTTTAGGATATGTTAAGGATTTGATGAAAGAATTTTTGTACTGCAGACGCATTAAGCCAACACTGTCCAAAGCTCTTGATGTCATTGGAGTGAAAGAAATACCTGTCCCAATGACTCGCCACAAATCAAAAATCAGCAAAACTGAAGCCATTAAGCAACATAAAACTCGTTTTAATAAATAAAATGCAACTAACCATTCAACTTTTCCAATTCTGTGAATGTATTCATCTTCGCCCGATGACGAAGAATTGTCATCATTATGACCACCTTGCGCGTTGGCCAATGGCTCTAACATATAAGGTTGTATATCATTGTTATTGATGACAATTTTATAATCGGCTTCTTCAAAAGAATCCATTAATTTTTGTTAAATAAAAAACAATGACTAGCAAACTACCTTAATAGAAAACTACCGAAAGTCGTGCAAGTCGTAGAACGATATAAGAACGAAGCTTGTTTATGTCAACTAATACGTCACTCCTTCCCAGTTCCCAGACTTAAACAATCTCAAGCCGTTTTAGCAATGGTCATTGAAAATCGTGTTTTTTACCGATTATAACCCTAAATATCTTTTGAAATATTTTGCGGACGACTTTGAAACTTGGTACGTCTTATTTTCACGCTATAGGCATTACAATAAAATAAAGTTGTCTTCTAGCTTGCATGTGTCCTTTAAGTTAAATCGCCTATTTAAAAATTCTGAGAATAGTGTGATCGCCTTTTATGAAATTTCTACTGGTTGTTAATGTATAGAGGTTGGAATCAAAAGAAAAATTATATTTTTCATAAAATTTGAACGTTTTTGCACGATATCACTTTCGTATGACCCTAACAATATTGCAAAAATCCTGAGAGAGAATTCAGACAACGAACATGTAGGCAGTTTAGCTGTGAAAGAGCATTCAGCAAGTTAAACAATATCAAACATGGTAAAATGAAAGTGGAATCTGCGTTGTTGCAAAATGATAGGCGGGTTAAATGATTTACTTTATAGCATTACCAGAATGACATAATTGATGTTTTTGCGGCAAATGAATGTGTGTGTTTCCACAAATACTCTTTTAATCATATACCTGGTTGAGCCTTTTTTTCATGCAGCTTTGTAGCCTTCAAAATTTCACATAAAACGCAAATTTTATAGTGCTGCTCCACTAAAATACTTACTATGTACAATTATCGATCCCTTTGAAAAATTTGTCTGTATATGCATCATAACCTCGATAGCATTTTCAAACTATAGCTTGCTATCTTTAATTCAATGATGTTCATTGATGGACTATTACAAAAAATCTTTATTATAGAAAACCAAAATAAGTAACAACAAGATAAGATTATTGTGTGATTAAAGTGTAATTCTCCGTCGTCATTGGTTGCGTCATTACGAAGTCACGTGTTGAGACAGCACGGGAACAAGCGAGCTTCAGTTACGCTATAATCTTTATCGGATGTTTAATAACAAGCTGTAGTTGTAAAAAATATTGTGAAATATGGATGAAATCGAAAATTTTACTGACAATTATTGCAAAATAATATATAGGAAGTATGAGACAAAAAAAATGGGAAAGGCTGATTTTATGGAACTATTGGTGAATATAAATGCTAAATTGTGTGCCACGAATGAGTCAATCAAAAAGCTCAACGAGCCTATCTAGTTCATTGATGTGCTGAAGCACAACCTGCTAAAAACAAGCAATAACATCTGAAGCATGATAAACTATATTCTATCGTGCAAAATTAATTATGATTTATTTTTGTATAAGATTTTTAATATTGTTAGCGAATGATTGCTCTCTTTAAATATACGTATTTCTGTATTTGCTGTATTTGTTGGATAGTTGTATGTATTTATAGGGTGGGTCATTTGTATGTGTTATTTACTTTGTTCATTCGCTTTCCACGGACAACGTGAAAAGTAACAAAATGATATTTACCTAAGCCATAAATATTATTCAAAAATTATTAGAACGTTGTTTAGAATAAATGAAGTAAGTGTACAGTGCTACGTATTTAGTGAGTTCCAAGGACTTACATCGTAGAAAAATTTCAAAGTCTATCCATTAAATTGCTATTTCCCGTTTTCATAGTCGTAGTTACCAAGCGGATTTAATGATTACTTAATTCCTTGTCCTTTATCCTTTTTTGCTTTAAAATTCAGACATAAATAAAATTCATACTCATGCATTTTATAGCAACAACTAATCAGCAGCATTACCAATTCATGAAAAAGAATAAATCAACTGCAACAAAAGTTTTGTTGAACGAAGAGTTGCTCATTTTGTTTAAATGTTTTGAATAGTATATGTTGACTGTGTTAAACTCAAGTACAGGCTAAGTTGCTTACTGTAAATAAGCATTCATTCAATTAATTATATTCATTCATGCTTCTAAATTTTGCATAACTTGATATTCAAGGTAAAATTATAAAAAGGGACCTGCATTTTAAAGGTGTATTATAATTATGTACATAATTTTACCATGTGAAATACGATATGATGACATGTTAGAGTAAAAACTATGCAAAATAACAATGTAACACGAATTAACACATTTTCGAGTGATTATTATAAGTAAACGCATGCTTTTAAGGATAGTAGTAATTAAATTTCCCGCAATCCAGGGAGGTTTAGTGCTCTGAGTTGAGTTATTCCCTGCGATTTTGTACAAAAGGGTAAAAGATTTAGTGGTATCTCAAGTATTAACGATAAAACAGTCGAACAAGAGGCCATTTGATTGGTAAACTTGCCCTCAAAGTCGTGTGGATTCAATAAACTTGCCGTAGACGTCGTATGCTATTGACCTTTCTATCTCACCAGAGTTGAAGTTTATTGAAGACGAAGCTGACGCATTTTTTTACGCAGCAAGAATAAAATGTGAATAAAGGTGTACTTTAAAATTGACCAGGGATATTAGGTCTAAACGTCCCAAATGAATATATTGATTAGGTTATTTAGAACTAAATATTCTCATCCATGTGATTGAGGGAAATACGTAAGTAAACATCCCTGTGATAACAAACTGTTTGCGAAGCACTACATTTCACTTGAGTTGTAATTCTCCAATTAGTGCAAGCAAGTTGGTTGTTTCAATTTTAAATGCTTTGAGAAGTAATTATATCAAAATATTTTGAAATTGCTTAAGGACATTTATCTGATGATAAATATTGAATCGTTACCATTTACTAAAATCATTTAACGCTCGGCTGAATCCTGGCTGCCGGGCTCATGTAAGCAGCAAACCATAGGGAAACATACTTTTATTATTGTCTTGATACAAGTATGTATTTTAATGTGGTTTTGCTACATTGTGCTATGAATTAATTACTAATTTGAGGGAATCTGCATGTGAAGTGTATAATGCATAAACTATTTTATTCGTACAAATTTTTTTGAGCGTTTTATTGAAAGAAATACAAAAAAAAAAACACTACAGTGAAATCTAGGTGTAATCTGTTACTTAAACTAGTTTCATCTAATTCTAAGTTCGAAATTTTCTTTGATTAAGACGGCAGATGATGTATATTCTTAGCCATAAATGGAGCCTATATAAAAAGAATATCATTAATAATGATATACAAATATCAAAATTTTCAAGATACAAAGATTATTTTGTAAAGCTAAGAGATGTATTACAGAAAATGCTTGTGTTGAAAGAAAATATATCTTTTAGTTATACTTGTTCAGAGAAACAATAATTACTTGCAAAAAATACTTACTTTCGCAATTTTTTCCATAGTACCCATGCTTACAATTACATCGATACGAAAAACCAAGACGGATACAAAGACCATTATTCTTACAAGGTCGTCTATTGCAAGCATTGTAATCTATAATTAAATAGAAAAAATTACTAGGAAAACATATTGCGCACATAATGGCTTTTCATAAGATTGGGTGGCACAAAGGAAATCAGCACGATGTTATGTTCTTATGTTATTTACAAATAATGATGTTTAAAAATAAATGGCATGATTGTATAAGGTAAACCTATGTGCGAACAATTGTAGTCAGTTTGACAAAGTTTATCAAAAATGAAACTAAATGTATGAGGATGTTTCTGTTTTGTTGTGATCCACTGTGAGAAAAACAACATAACTGATGTTAATCGAATTTTTTAAATTAAATTTTAGTAAAAAACAGAATATTTTCAATTTTTTAAAATGCTGTTTGTCATAAATGTACAAATATCAACTAAATATTGCTTGTATGTAGCTGACAAATAAACCTTCATAAGACGGCGTAAAAATTATACTGTAATAAGACATTTGTAAACAACCAAACTAGTTAGCTGCAAAGCAGTTCAAGAGCACACAGTTATCATTTACATGAAGCTAGAATGCACATATACTTATTACAATTACTATGTTGCGAATATTAAGTTTAAAATGTTGTTTCTATCTACAAAATTTGTAAACAGAGTAATGTATATCTCAAAATGGATATACATTTGAACGAACAATGCACAATAAAAGGTCAAGGAAATAAAGGGGATCAAATAAATACAAAATTCTTACACTGACAATTCTTTCCAAAGTAACCATATCTGCACCGACATTGATAAGAACGTCCAATTCTGACACAACGACCACCATACTTACAAGGTTTCTTCAAACAAATATGTCTTCTTACTAAACACAAACAGACTAAAATGGAGCGCTTTGTGTTTAAAGTATTTCTGAACTAAATTTTGTGCATTTTTTATTGCTAAAAGCTTACTGTCGTCTAACTCTTACAAAATGTTGAAAATAAATAATTACAACAAGAATATATTCTTACACTGACAATTCTTTCCAAAGTAACCATATCTGCACCGACATTGATAAGAACGTCCAATTCTGACACAACGACCACCATACTTACAAGGTTTCTTCAAACAAATATGTCTTCTTACTAAACACAAACAGATTAAAATGGAGCGCTTTGTGTTTAAAGTATTTCTGAACTAAATTTTGTGCATTTTTTATTGCTAAAAGCTTACTGTCGTCTAACTCTTACAAAATGTTGAAAATAAATAATTACAACAAGAATATATTCTTACACTGACAATTCTTTCCAAAGTAACCATATCTGCACCGACATTGATAAGAACGTCCAATTCTGACACAACGACCACCATACTTACAAGGTTTCTTCAAACAAATATGTCTTCTTACTAAACACAAACAGATTAAAATGGAGCGCTTTGTGTTTAAAGTATTTCTGAACTAAATTTTGTGCATTTTTTATTGCTAAAAGCTTACTGTCGTCTAACTCTTACAAAATGTTGAAAATAAATTAATTACGACAAGAATATATGCAGTATGTTTCAACTTCAAAGATGGTTTTAGATTAAAGATGCTTGGTGAAAAATCTCGAATAGAGAGCTGGGGTAAAAAATGCCACTGACATTTGTTTTAATAATTACAAAAACGGCAACTGCAATAGGATAAATGTTCGATTCTAAAACAACAACCACTTTTTTAAAAGGTTTACTGTAACAAACATTTTTTGTTTATGTACTTGCAAGATTTGATCGGTCAAAGTTTGTAAAACACTATTTGTCGTGACAGTACTAATGATTTTTATCTGAAGCATTTCTTTATATTTTCTATATTATTTTAGAGCTATCGTTAGAGCATCATTATTTTAGAAAGGAGGGTCGCTAACGCTTATGTGAGCAAATTATTTTGTTTTAATGATAAAGTAAATGTAAAGAGAAAAGAAAATAGATGATACTTACACAAGCAATTCCTTCCATAATAAGGATTTCTACATCTACATCGATAAGAAGATCCAATCCTTAAACAAACACCCTTATTCTTGCATGGTCTTCTTGCACAAGCATTGAGGTCTAAATCAGAAATGAAATAGTTAAATAATCATTTTAGCAAATGTACGAAATTTTATGAGAATAAAACGTTAAAAATTTTTGTATTAATATATAATTAAACAATGAAATAAATTCAAATGCAGATGTTTCATAAAAACACCTAAGCAACTGGCACATGTTTGTAGCCTGATAAAGATATAGCCAAAATTACAATAACGTATTTTAAATAAAAGAAGAATATGAAGAAAGAAGAAAAGTTTAGATGTAGAAAAAAAATACAAATAATTCTTACAGTGGCAATTCCTTCTATAATACCGAATTGGACTACATAATACCGAATTGGACTAAATACCAGACATAACATAGTACTAAAGACTAAGTACATAGGTTGCTTGTACCGCACGCTTGAACGACATATCATTGTGATATAAGTTATCTCCTGTGAGCCGGCATTTGACTAGTACCTAGACTTTAAGTTATTAGTTTTTTATGAAGTATATGTAGAGTAAGGTAATTTGTTAGTACAATCAATTAGTTTAGCTTGTGTTTCGTACCTCTTGAATAGATATGACAGGTAATATCATACAAGTCAACTTATTAGGCTGCGATACAATATTTTTTGTTAATATTTCTCAAAATAAGAACCATTTGATAGGAATATGCCCCCTACAACTCTGTGCTGATTGCAAATAACTTCTGCTTGGATCTTTGGACGCCAACAGACGCTTTTCAGTTTTCACACAGCAAACGTATTATATTAATACTATAATATATATTAGATTTATTTTTAATGTAATGTTTCATTGACCTTATGAACAGTACATTTTTTACCGTAAACCTTTGCAGATTAAGCTTAATTACTTAATGATAAAATTCACTTTAGTTACGTTTAACACACCAAATTTAGTGTTTCCTTACGAAAAATTCGTTCTTGGTCAATCGACAGAATGAAAGACAAATTGCTTTACTTTTTTCAACGAATTCATAATTACATAGTAGCTATTAGCTTACGGTATTTTTCGGATATGACGACGAATGTACAAAACATTATTCGTCATCTTGGCATAGGCGAATATAACCGAGGAAACAGCCAAGGTTATCACAATGGACCGACAGACACCGCCTCTCTAAGAAACTTTTTCAGTTTAGCAGTGGTTAGCCACGCATGCGCAGCAGCCACCCACAAAACTACGTGTATGTGTGTGGCCTTTTAAATATATAGTCAAAATTGCACTATTTTATGTTAAATAAAAGAAAAAGAGGGAAAAAGCCAATAGATGAAGAAAAAATATAATCATTCTTACATTGACAATTCCTTCCATAATAGGGATATTTACATGAACATCGATAAGAAGATCCAATCCTTGAACAAACACCCTTATTCTTGCATGGCCTTCTGGCACAAGCATTGAGGTCTAAATCAGAAATGAAATGGTTAAATAATCTATTTTTGCAAATGTACGAAATTTTATGAGAACAATACGTTAAAAACTTTTGTATTAATACATAATTAAAAAAGGAAAAATTTCAAATGCAGCTGTTTTATAAAAATACCGACGCCACTCGTAAATGTTTGTAGTCTGGTAAAGATATAGCCAAAATTAAAATAATGTATTTTAAGTATAAAGAAAAGTTTAAATGAAGAAAAATTATATGAATAATTCTTACACTGGCAATTTCTTCCATAATAGGGATATCTACATCTACATCGATAAGAAAATCCAATCCTTAAACAAACACCCTTATTCTTGCATGGTTTTCTGGCACAAGCATGGATGACTAAATCAGAAATGAAATGGTTAAATAATCATTTTTTGCAAATGTACGAAATTTTAAAAAAGTACAATACGTCAAAAACTTTGTATTAATATATAATTAAAAAAGGAAATAAATTCAAATGCAGATGTTTCAAAAAAACACCTAAGCAACTGGCACGTGATTGTAGCCTAGTACAGATGAATCCAAAATTGCATTAACATATTTTTAATAAAAGAATAATATGAAGAAAAGAAGAAAAGTTTAGATGTAGAAAAAAATGCAAATATTTCTTACACTGGCAATTCCTTCCATAATAGGGATATTTACATGAACATCGATAAGAAGATCCAATCTTTAAACAAACACCCTTATTCTTGCATGGTCTTCTGGCACAAGCATTGATGACTAAATCAGAAATGAAATGGTTAAATAATCTATTTTTGCAAATGTACGAAATTTTATGAATGCAATACGTTAAAAACTTTTGTATTAATACAGAATTAAAAAAAGAAATAATTTCAAATGCAGCTGTTTTTATTAAAATACCTAAGCAACCCGTACCTGTTTGTAGCCGGGTAAAAATATAGCGAAAATTACAATAACGTATTTTAAATATAAAGAAAAGAATGAAAGTTTAAATGAAGAAAAAATATATGAATGATTCTTACACTGGCAATTTCTTCCATAATAGGGATATTTACATCTACATCGATAAGAAGATCCAATCCTTATACAAACACCCCGATTCTTGCATGGTTTTCTGGCACAAGCGTTGATGTCTAAAACAGAATTTTATAAATCACTTTTTTTAGCAAGCATAATCAAATTTATGAGAATACGATTTTTGGAATTTTTGTATTTATGCAACATCAAAAAAAGAGATTTTGATGCATATTTTTTCATGAAAAAAGGTTTGCAATGAGAACATGTGTGCCTGATAAATAGTTGGCTATAAAATGAATTAACGTATTTAAGGACGTTTATGTGCAAGCAAAAATAATGCTATAAAGGTATGGTATGGTACTTTAAAATTGTTAAGTTTTCTATATTAGTCAAAAAGACTAGTATGAAAAAATGAAATAAAATGAATGATTCTTACATTGACAATTCCTTCCATAATATGGATATTTACATTTACAGCGATATGATGATCCAAGCAACTGGCAAACACCTTTATTCCTGCATGGCCTTTTATAACAAGCATTGACGGCTAAATTAGAAGTAGAAAATGTAGAAGTCATATCGTGAAAGCATGTTAATTTTTGAGTAAAATATGTTGGAAAGTGTTGTTGTATTTATAAGACATTAAAAATAGAAAAAAACTTTGGAAACGAAAATTTTTTACAAAAATGTCTATGCAATGCATATATGGCCTGTAAATAACTACAAAACAATTTTCGACTGTATTCTTGAAAAGAAAAACAAATACATAAGAATGATTCTTACACTGACAATTCCTTCCATAATAAGGATATTTACATCTACATCGATAGGAAGATCCAATCCTTAAACAAACACCTTTATTCTTGCATGGTCTTTTAACACAAGCATTGATGTCTAAATCAGAAATCATAAATTGTGAAAGTGTTTTTTAGCAAGCATAAAGTAATTTTTTGAGCACAATATGTTTGAAATTATTTCATTTATGCAACCCCAAACTTAGAATAACTTTCAAAATTAAAATTTTTTTTATAAATATCACGCAATGTAAATACATGTATAGCTTGGTGAATATATACACAAAAAGATAATTAATGTACTCTTGAAAGAAGAAGAGCAAAGAAATATGATTCTTACACAAACAATTCCTTCCATAATAGGGATATCTACATTTACATCGATAGGAAGATCCAATCCGTATACAAACACCCTTATTCTTGCATGGTCGTTTAACACAGGCATTCTTAACTAAATCAGAAATCAAAAGATGTAATTCATAGTTTAGTACAATATGTTAAACAGTTTGTACTTGTGCCACTTTAAAATTTAAAAACTTTCAAATGAATCATTTCTCATAAAAAAATAAATGCAGCTTTTCTGCATGAAAACATGCTTGCAAAGTGATTATGTGTGTATCCTGTTAATTATTTTATCTAAAATGGATCAATGCAATTAAGGAAGTTTATGTGTCAGCAAGAATGTTGCTATAATGTATGATATGGTACTTTAAAAAATGTTAATTTTTCTAATATAGTTGAAAAAATTATTACGAAGGAAATAAAACTAAAATGGAGAAAACGAAAATGTATGAATGATTCTTACACTGGCAATTCCTTCCATAATATGAATATTTACATCTACATCGATAGGAAGATCGAATCCTTATACAAACACCCTTATTCTTGCATGGTCGTTTAACACAGGCATTCTTAACTAAATCAGAAATGAAAAGATGTAAATTATAGTTTATTACAATATGTTAAAAATTTTGTACTTGTGCAACTTTAAAAATTAAAAACTTTCAAATGAATCATTTCTCATAAAAAAATAAATGCAGCTTTTCCGCATGAAAACAGGCTTGCAAAGCGTTTATGTGTGCATCCTGTTAAATGTCGTGTCTAAAATGGATTAACATATTTAAGGAAGTTTGTGTGTCAGCAAAAATGTTGCAATAATGTATGATATGATACTTATGAACTTTTCTAATATAGTATAAAAGATTATTACGAAGTAAATAAAATCGAAATGAAGAAGATGAAAATAAATGAATGATTCTTACATTGACAATTCCTTCCATAGTATGGATATTTGCATTTACAGCGATAAGATAATCCAATCCTTATACAAACACCCTTATTCTTGCACGGTTTTCTAGCACAGGCATGGATGTCTAATTTAGAAGTGAAATGATAAAAAAGCTTTCTTTGCAAGTGTACATAAATTTATAAATTCAATAGGTACGCAATACGCAAATGTGTGTATTCTGTGAAGTTAATGGCCAGTAAATTAAGTAGAATTAATGGTAATTTTTCAAATAAGATTGCATATTTAATTTACGTCAAACTTGTTTCAGATAGGAAATCGATTTTAGTTAAGAGACCCATATATGTGTAACTCTGCATTTTTCGATGTTCTAGCTTAGCTTACATGTCACGTGACGGAGCTCAGTAGTCTTCCATAAAGAAAGTGACGTCATTTAGATACCTTGCGAACTTATAAATGTTTTAATCACTGATAAATATTTTTGCTAATGGCGTGTTACAAAAACGTTTTCTTAAATGTCTCAGACGTCGTTCAAACAACCGATAAAGCAACAAGCTTATGACATGTAGTATATTGCATATATAAACACTTGTATTGTACTAATATAACCATAGTGCATAGATAGGCATTAGACACTTATTTTTCTCCAACGAGCCATGCTGTCTATTTCCCCTTTTTTCATCACATCTTAAAAAGCCTATAATTTCAAGGATTTTGTGTTTGTTGCAAACAATGTTCGAAAATAAATTCTTTGCAACTTTGCAAGCAATCGCAATTATGTTCATTTTTCGTGTTTATAGTTTGATGCGTATCATATTTCACCAAGGGGCCAATTACATGAAGAAATTTCAGCAAGGGCTGAGTTTCAGCCTGGGTGGCCAGGCTGTAATTTTGTGTGATTGTATGGTAAATTTATAAAGCTCTTCCAAAGCATGATCGCCAGTTGTCATTACTTTCTTGTCATTTTGTTGTCGTCATTATAAGCAATAGGTACGCAATAACGCATTCGTGAATATTTTAGCTATGGTTAAAATATCATCCGGATTGTTCTCAATTTCATCCCGGATTGTTCTGAAATTTCATACAGAATTGTCCTCTTGTAATTGCGTACGCTATTTAGAATATTATAAAGAACCATACTGAAATTTAAGCCTGGCCAGCCGGGCTGAAATTGTTCTATGTAATCGGCAACTAAGTACATAGGTTGCTTGTACCGCTAGCTGAAATGAGTTATAATTGATATATATTATCACCTGCGAGCCGGCATTTGAATATATCTTCACTTTAAGTTATTAGTTTTAAGAAAAGCAAGATAATTCGTTGGTACAATGAATGAGTCGAGCTCTGTTTCGTTCCGCTTGAATCAATGACACATGCAGTATATCATACAAGTCCATTTATTAGGCTGCGATAGTTTTAGTTAATATTTCTGAAAATATAAAAAAATTCCTTACGAATATGGGGCAGACAAGTCTGTGCTGACTGGAAATAACTTCTGCTTGATCTATGAACGCGGACAGACGATATACAGTTTTCTCATATCAACATATTATTATACTATAATATGTTTCATTTTCAATGTATGATTGACTTTTTGCGTTGTACAGTTTTAACATATAAACCTTTTATCAGAAAGCATAAATAAGCAAGCTGAGTTACTTAATGATAAAATTAGGTTTAATTTAGTTTAAGACACCAAATTTAATATTTCCTCACAAAGTACTACTTCTGCGGGTCAATCAACAGAATGAAATGACGAGTTGTTGCATATGTTTAACAATATCAAACAAAAGCCATATTTTTCCGACAGGCGATAAACGCTCAAAAAGGTGTTCTTCGTCCTCGTTCTTATATTCGACTATCTCCGAGGATAAAAACACTCAGACGGAAGCACTGACGGACGATTTTTAAGTATAGCATAGTGATTAGCAACGCATGCACAGCAGCTACCGGGGAAAAACGAAAAAACGAATGACCTAGAACCCAACCTACTAAATATATGACTCCGCCAAAATTCGGTAGTTACCAGTCAGGCAATCCATTACGTTAAGGTGTTATAAAGAACAAAAGAATAAAAGTTTAGATGAAGATAAAAGTATAAATAATTCTTACACTGGCAATTCCTTCCATAATAGGGATATTTACATCTACATCGATAGGAAGATCCAATCCTTAAACAAACACCCTTATTCTTGCATGGCTTTCTGGCACAAGCATGGATGGCTAAATCAGAAATGAAATGGTTAAATAATCATTTTTTGCAAATGTACGAAATTTTTATAGTACAATACGTTAAAAACTTTTGTATTAATATATAATCAAAAAAGGAATTAAATTCAAATGCAGATGTTTCATAAAAGCACCTAAGCAACTGGCACATGTTTGTAGCCTGGTACAGATAAATCCAAAATTACAATAACGTATTTTAAATAAAAGAATAATATGAAGAAAAGAAGAAAAGTTTGGATGTAGAAAAAATACAGATAATTCTTACACAAGCAATTCCTTCCATAATAGGGATATTTACATCTACATCGATAAGAAGATCCAATCCTTGAACAAACACCCTTATTCTTGCATGGTCTTCTGGCACAAGCATTGATGTCTAAATCAGAAATGAAATGGTTAAACAATCTTTTTTGTAAATGTACGAAAATTTATGAATACAATGCATTAAAATCTTTTGAGTTAATACATGTTTGAAAAAGGAAAAATTTTCAAATGCAGATATTTCATAAAAATAACTAAGCAACTCGTGCATGTTTGTAGCCTGGTAATAATATAGCCAAAATTACAATAACGTATTTTAATAGAAGAATAATATGAAGAAAAGAAGAAAAGTTTAGATGTAGAAAAAATACAAATAAATCTTACATTGGCAATTCCTTCCATAATAGGGATATTTACATGAACATCGATAAGAAGATCCAATCCTTGAACAAACACCCTTATTCTTGCATGGTCTTCTGGCACAAGCATTAAGGTCTAAATCAGAAATGAAATTATTAAATAATCTTTTTTTGCAAATGTACGAAATTTTATGATTACAATACGTTAAAAACTTTTGTACTAATAGATGATTAAAAAAGGAAAAAATTTCAAATGCAGCTGTTTTATAAAAATACCGACGCAACTCGTAAATGTTTGTTGTCTGGTAAAGATATAGCCAAAATTACAATGTATTTTAAATATGAAGAAAAGTTTAAAAGAAGACAATATATATGAATGATTCTTACACTGGCAATTCCTTCCATAATAGGGATATTTACATGTACATCGATAAGAATATCCAATCCTTAAACAAACACCCTTATTCTTGCATGGTTTTCTGGCACAAGCATTGAGGTCTAAATCAAAAATAAAATGGTTAAATAATCATTTTTTGCAAATGTACGAAATTTTATGAGAACAATACGTTAAAAACTATTGTATTAATACATAATTAAAAAAAGGAATAATTTCAAATGCAGCTGTTTTATTAAAATACCTAAGCAACCCGTACCTGTTTGTAGCCGGGTAAAAATATAGCGAAAATTACAATAACGTATTTTAAATATAAAGAAAAGAATGAAAGTTTAAATGAAGAAAATATATATGAATGATTCTTACACTGGCAATTCCTTCCATAATAGGGATATTTACATCTACATCGATAGGAAGATCCAATCTTTAAACAAACACCCTTATTCTTGCATGGTCTTCTGGCACAAGCATTGATGACTAAATCAGAAATGAAATGGTTAAATCTATTTTTGGAAGTGCACGAAATTTTATGAATGCAATACGTTAAAAACTTTTTTATTAATACATAATTAAAAAAAGAAATAATTTCAAATGCAGCTGTTTTATCAAAATACCTAAGCAACCCGTACCTGTTTGTAGCCGGGTAAAAATATAGCGAAAATTTCAATAACGTATTTTAAATATAAAGAAAAGAATGAAAGTTTAAATGAAGAAAAAATATATGAATGATTCTTACACTGGCAATTTCTTCCATAATAGGGATATCTACATCTACATCGATAAGAATATCCAATACTTAAACAAACACCCCGATTCTTGCATGGTTTTTTGGCACAAGCATGGATGGCTAAATCAGAAATGAAATGGTTAAGTAATATTTTTGTTTTTAGCGTATAGCAATTTATGAGTAAGATTTTCCATGGCGTTTAAGTAAGACCTTCTTAATCTAACGACGTAAATACGCAAGCTCTTATAAAAAAGAAAAGTACTATAGAAAACAGTCTTGAAGATTATTTGACTTTAATCTTAACTGACACTTTCTTTTTCATCACTACAGCAAAAACATAAGAATGCATGATATTTGCTCATGAAATGTGGATACAACACAATATCTTTGATAACTTTCACCAGTAGATCGTTTAAAAAAAATTAACTAATTACTTACGTTTAAGCAATCTGCAGCATTTGAAGTAGTCAATGTTGTGAAGCCATCGCCCTCTACCTCTTTTTAAGCCAGTTATGTAGTAGCCAACTCTATTACACGTTGTCCATCCTTTTTTATTAAAGGCATATTTGACGGATTTGTAGTAACAGTGACCATATTTGTTTGGATAAGCGACTGGTTTGCAGCATTTTCCTTGCTCGATGTGGTGCAATGACTTCCCATTTGAGCGATAGAGACCATTTAGATAATATCCCGTTGGACAAACATTCCAAGAGTATTTTCTAAAGATTGAGCTTTGTTAGTTTTTTTGCAGCGAGCAATGATTGCTAAGTCTATAAAAATCTGCCATGAATGCACGAAGCGTTTAAAAGCAATATTATCTTTCGGTTTCGATACACTTAATATAGTTATTATGAACTTGAAAAAATGAACTACCCGCCCACTGTTTGCTTTTGCCAAATGAAATATTTTGATTTTGGAGATGTTCAAATTTTGTTCAAATACAAGACTCGGCGGTGATCTTTTAATTCATTCAAGGGTTAGATTGAAAAATGTTTAATTAAACATTGCAATATGGGATTTCATCTTACTCATTTTTTCCGTTTCTCCAAGATTAAAAAAACAACAAATTTCTCGGTGCTGAGATCAAAGTAAGCTTTTCAAGATTTTTTTCGATATTTATTATTTGCTAATTTTTATTTTCAATTTGTGTATACTTATTTGTACTACATGTGCAATCATGAAGCGTATTAAAAAAATCAGTCAACACATTTAAACGATATGTCTGTTTTAATTCGATATAAATGACATGCCAGCTGAAAAGATTTACTTTGTCTAATTAAGTTGAAGAAAGTGCTCTATTTGTGTAAGTATTCATTATTTATATATTCCCTATAAATGCGAGCATCGGCTTTGAAAGCTTGAAAGAGTTATCAATTTAATATTACTGCAACTATTCGTACTTCTCTCAAAAGTAAATCTACATGAAAAAGCTTTTGCTATACACCCAGTCAAATAAAGTTAAAACACAGTCAAATAAATAAGTATATATATTAAGAAGCTATTCAATCTATTTTAATGCTATAGCGTTGTATTTAATAACTTTTGATGTTTTGTTGAAAGAATTGCAAGCATTATTAGCTATGTACAATACATACTGACCTGTCGAAAGATTTCCACCAATTTGCGTTTACACAAACAGTCCTCCTTCCTCCGTATAGTAACCTCGGTTGGCAGCATCTTGCTTCTTCAAGTTTGTAAATGCCATCTCTTCTGAAAAAGGATCGCTTATTTCGATAAAACCCAGTAATATAATAATTGGTTCTGCCGCATGTTGACCATCCTTTTTTGTCAAACGATTTCCACCAATTGGCGTTGAAGCAGACTTTTCGTCTAATGATCACTAAAACAACACGTGTCACAAATATTCAACACGCATTAACTGTCTCACTAAAACGTCTCAAATGTACAAGGGTTATATGATCACATGCTACAATTAAAAAAAGTTTAAACGTAATGACCAGCATCCATTGCTATAGTAGGTAAGAAATTACTTTTAAAATAACAATCAACAAAGTCTGCAGACGACAAGGGACACTTCTCAATGAAATCGTAGCGATATATTTATGATGGTATTGCAAGCACTGTTATTTTCTCACAAAAGCAAAAAATTTTTGAGATCCAGATAATGCTTCAATGTAAGATCAAGAAAACTCAATGCATAATCCAAGGAATATTTAAGGCGTAAATGCTTTTGGCGCATAAAATATTAAACCAACTGAAAAGGGCACTGAAATTTAAAAAATTAAAAATGAAAAACATATAAATTATACACAGGTAAGACAGAGATTATTTATCAAATCAAACTTCATTGATAACTTGTAGAACACTTATATGACCAATCCAATTAAATTTCAAACGAGTTTTTGTTAAAATTACGAGTTCATCCTTTAATATCGAAGTAAATAGTACATACTAATAAAATACACTTACGTCTCCTTGCATTTGTGGAGATTACCTGTAACAATAAAGAAATAAGTTAAAATGAATTTATACGTATTTCCCTTTGAGTTTTAATATGAAGCTGGCGACTTCAAAGTTAAATATTGGTGATAATAGGTTCATGATTAAACGCTGTAAGAGCTGTATAAATGGTAATATGTGACTGAGGTCAAAAGATTTTGGAAAATCATACGATAAAAGAAAATTGAGTATTGCTACTACTCCATCAACACAACTAAAAACTGAGACTAAGAATACACCATAGCATATTACCAAATGCTGAAGCAATACGAAGAAACCAAGAATAGAACATGGCTATGATAAATATTTGATCTGAGTTGAACGCTTGTGTGTAAGTTGAGTTTATAATATGTAATAGCCGGGATTTAGATTATGTATCGTCTATTTAAGAAAATGTAGCACTCTTCAACAAAGCGCAGTCTTCGCATAACCTTAATTTGCCACTTAATTGACTTGTAATAGCTCCTTAAGTATTAAAGAATTCTATGCGACACATACCATTGCGGCAAGAACTGCAGCTAAAATCGCGAGACTTGACTTCATCATGTTGAATGGACGAGACACAACCAGTTCTCCTCAACTGACAAAAATTCCCAGCTCGAATAAAGCTGTGTGGTTTAGAAGATCTTTTATAATCTTGTTTATTCGTTTCAACTTCCTTTCAATTGGCAAAATTTACATTTTGAGGATTTGTTAACTAAGGATATCCCTACTTCGAATAATTACATTCAAATGAACGTCATTAATTTGGGTAAAGAACAAACGCTCTTTTATTTCCTTTGTATTTGTTTTTAAACTTTCAGCAGATTACTTTAGAAAATTACCATTTTGCTAATGTTACTCTACGTAAAATTTGCTGGAGTAAAATTGTTAATTTGATAAATTTTGTCGTTTCAAGCTAACAAGGCACTTATAAACACCAGATGATATTCAAAAAATAAAGTATACTATTAACATTTGCTCTAGAAGATTTCTTTATCTTTTTGTTTGACTTGAAGGGCTTTGTTCGAAATGCGTCCTTAAAAAATGACTGAATGTTATTTTGTTTTTCAATTTTAGATACGTATGCATAACAAAAATTAAAAATTGAATTGTTGTACTATCATTTCTAGAATAATAATTCATAAGGTACATGCTCAATGCATTTTGCTTGTGCTGATTAAATTTGTACATATTGAATTAATTGTGACTCCTCTAAAACGTTTATTTGTACAAACTCACATGAAATTTAGATTATATACTTCTTATACGTTCCATATATTACAATTATGATTTTGTTTCTACTCTTATAGAATTAAAACACCGACTAAAACACCAACTTTAAAATGACTGCGATAATTCTTGTTCATAACAGAAAACGTGACGTTAATTAAGATAAGTAGATATTTTGATTATTAAACAACTCTTACTTTCAGAAAATAAACGGTTTTCTTCACTCCTCCTAACCTCCCTCCCCTCATTTAAACTAATGCTCCATTTCTTGACTGTCGTAAGTCATCTATTTACACGTTCCTTAATCTGCACATTTGCATCATGTCATTATAGCATCACAAAATATGCTGATTTTAAATAGTACTTGACATTTACCAAGTAGTTTTGTTGTAGCTCTGAGAGACACTAATGTCAATGTTAACAATTCATTCATAAAGAGTAAATTTTTCGAAATATTCTTATACAATCGCAAAGCACTAAAACAAAGCCTTCTTCTAGCCCAATAAAGATTTTTGTATCAAAGCGAAAAAGAAGTTGGAAGCGATCATTTTGTTGTTCTTTTTGAAAATATGTGTAAGCATAGATTTACCAATATTATTCGTCCTTTAAATTTCAAGAAAACCTTTCAACAATTGCTAAAGAATTTTTTCATTGGAATTTAAGAAGACTTGAGACATTACGATAACAATTTAAGACTGACATTTTATCATTCATAATAAGAGTCAACAAGGAGTTTTTTAAAGACAGAATGTTTTGCGTTTGCGCGGTCGAAACAAGACAAAATTATACGCTTCTTTAAGAAGTTAACTTCTAAATACAATGCATTGCAATAAACTTGGCAATAAAAATCTGTACGTGCAACTGTACGTAATGATCTTATAGCATTATGTAAAAATAATAAGCATTACTTTTAACTCGGGTTGATTTTAAGATTAGGAGCAAAGTTCCACGATGCTTTGCATTTAGTATGTATTAATCATCAAATTCTTGAAACCGTGCATACTGAGTCAGACCAAAATATTCACTGAAAAAAATTTAATGGAAAACTAATTTATCTTGTCGCACAGATACTATGCAGCTCATTACTCATAAAATAAAATTTTTAATTCATTTCAACGAGTATGATGAGGAATGCGTATATGTGGCATACTTTATACGCGTAGTGTAGCTAGTCTGTTTTATTAATATTATTTGTTCTGTATTTTATATGCAATTGTTACAATGCTGAGTACAGACTTTTGGCTTATTTGTGAATGCATGAATAATGCAGGTAATTCAACATTATGCTCCTGAAAGACTTTGTTTTCATTTTAAACTAAGCTATTTTACCATGACATTGCGTTTGGTATCCGTTGGAATCTCGAGCCGAAATTCAATTCTAATCGCACTTCAGGAGAACGGAACTACTAAGCAGTTTCTTTGTTTTATCAATTCTTTGTTTTATGGAAAGTCCAATATCACGTAAAGAAAAAACTTAAGGCATACATCACGTTCAGCGAAAGAAATGTTTAAACAAAGCATTCCATAAGTTTCTTGTATAATAAAGTATCTGCATAGCTCAGCAAATACAGAATACACATTACAAAATGGTAAATTTATCCGAATTATCAAAAAACAATGCGTGTGTGGGTAGTTTGATTAAAAAGAAAAAATTTGACATAAGCAACATTCAAATAAGAATTCATACAAACTGATAAAAGTGGCCAATTGCTTTAAACTTATAATATACAACTTACATTATTACGTCAGTTATTAGTCACACACATGAAAATATTGCAATTGCATTGAGAGTTTACTTGAGAAAACAATCTGCTTGGTTTTAAGTGTTTCGCAATTCCAGCAAAAGGCCTCCTGATTCTTGCTTTTTTAGTTGGACGAGGTGTAATTTGAGAAACTTTTGTGGGTTTCGGAACAATAGTTGGCAATCGATTTAAATATCGAATATTGAATAGTCTATCGTAGATTTTCCGCCAATTTCTGAGCTAGAAGCTTCCTAAAGATCCGGGCAGGAGTTTTCAATGGAACTAGGGCCTTCAGTCATACTTATTCACTCAAAAACGTGGCTAAGAACAGTAGTAAAATCTATTTCGCTAGGTGGCCATGTTGCAATGCTTTCATGTGCGTGACTACTAAGTGACGTAATAATGCAAGTTATCTATTCGTTTTTACTAAGAGAGGCGAACGAACTTTTGGGTGCATTCTTTTTGTGAGAGGCCTGTATGAACCCTAAGGACTCTGCCAAATTCCACCAAGAATGAAAACAGCGATCTGCTTACATCCATATTATTAATCTCTGTTTGGACTATACGTAACAATAATGAAAGAACTCGCATAATTTACTTTTAATCACTTTTAACAAAGAAGTATTAACGGAAACTTACATAGTAACGATACTTTTAATGCTATGACAAAAGGAATGCCATAGTACACATTTGTCTTACGGCTGATTTCCATTCGGTACAAATTGTCGCGCGATCGACTTTTTGCAATCACTTTCTTTTGAATGTGTACAGCAGTGTAAAACTGTTCCGGTCGAGAGTTTATAATTGAAAAGAAAGTGATCTCAATAAATGGATCGCGAAAATTGGCCTTTACAGACAGTAGTCGGAGTATATATCTGTCACCCAATGCTTAATTAATATGATGAAATTTCTTCATGCGTAATGGAGAATCTTTCTCGAAAGAAAATCGAAGAGACAAACTGTAAACATGCATAATGAGGTGCATCAAAAACTTCTTCACCGCTTGTTGAAATTTTGATATGTAATGACTATATGTCAGGCAACATTATTATGCTAATTATTATGCAGTTGTTTTTTTGCTACATATAATGCCAGCTATTATATTCACACGAGCAGATATTTTCTAACAAAGATATATAATTTAAGCAATTAGCCGAATATACTTTACCCTCTATATTCTAAGCAAAGAGAGCTAGCATTAAAGTCATAAAATTTAATTGGATGTTTTCTTCAAGTCTCCTATTTATATTCCTTATGTATTTCTAAGCATAAATTGTCTCATTAAAGTTATCGAATTATCATTGGAAAATCTTTGTCACGTGACACGATCTGTCTTAGCAAAATACTATGATCCCAGCTAATCGTTGGCCGCAGGCTTTTATAAAATGTCTCTGGTTACAAACATTTTTAACTAGTATATTGTGTGTATTCTAAAATCTTATTCACGCTCACACTCCATCATCGAGTGTGTCTCAGAAATCGCCCTTCAGCAGACTAATTTTTCCATCGATAGCAAGATTTTTCCATAATATTTTAAATGAAGAAATAAATTTAGTAAAAATACCATTTCGAAGTCAAGATAAGGTGATTTTGAAGCCCCATGGCCAACAAGTTAATTAAAAAATAGTTTATAAGTTTCTGCTAAACCAACAAACAGTCTTTGTTTTAATGTGCGAGCATTTGAATGAACACACAGTGCCAAATAACACGATCAATCTGCATTCTGTGAGCTATTCGTTGCCTGTGTGTAGTATAAACTTGTTTTACGTACCCAAAAAATGTAAATTGGATGAATAATGAATTTTCATTCCAAGCATAGTTATTTAGTTGTAGGATGCGTCTATACAATATACAAAATTTACTCAATGTATTGTAGTTGAACATTGATTCGCACGAAATATCATTAGCTTTAATAGGAGTTTCCTGTTGTAAAAATTTCAATACTAGCATGGGTAAATGGAACACAGAGTTGCTGTAAAAACACATTTTTTAATCGTAGGGAATCTGTCTATGGCATTTAAGTGACTTTTTAAGTGCCGCTATTATAATCCTATCACTTTGTCATTAATAACTGCTGCGATAATTCACCGCCCACAAGCAGTCGTACAAATGTTCGATGTTGATAATTGGTAAAATCTACCTTTGAATTTGTTCCACGTTACACTGTCTGTCAACTAAAAGTTGATCAAAGGCTACTCTATTTAAGGAAGCATTATCTTATGAACTGTAGTGTAAAAACATTTGCAATAATTAAGTTAGACTGCCAATTAACACTATCACGATATTTCACATGTATATCCATGTCATATATGTGGGAAAAATTAGAACGGAATGAGGGAGAGCACACAATTACATACAGGAAAGTAGAAACTTTCGGAAGTTCTGTAAGTTTCTGTTTGATTTTAAACGTCTGTAATCTGAATAGATATGAGGCATAAACAACGTAATACAGTAGATACTAAAATCCAGTAACCACCGATATCAATTATACATATCTCGTTTTGCGAAAATACATGAAATGGATTCACCGTGCCGTATTCCGCCAGTTCGGTTCACATTGTTAACCAAAACACGGAACCAAAACAATCGGCTCCGACAAATCAAATCGTGTGAAAGGGCCTTTAAGATAAAAAGAAGGCTCGAAACATGGCGAAATATACAACGCAATGTTAAAAGTTAAAAAGACACACTTGTAGAATTTCTATGTCTATCATTAAAATCACGTACGTATGAAACTACCTAGATTGCTGTATACAAAGAGGTGGTTCTAAGGGGTGCGACTGTACCGAGCAATTTTTTGCTAAAAGGTGGAAGATGCAGCACTTCCTCTTGCCATAGTAACTTCTAGTCTTGACAGTAACCTAAAACTGATGAATTTGCGTAACTAAAGACCAAGCCTTTTTTTAGCTTTCCTGTTTGGAGCACTGCCATATTAATATACACACGTGCTGTAATATCTGTCATTCGGATGCATCTTAGCAACGATTGCATCGAAGTTAATTACGTATGTTCAAGGGCTTTATTAGTGTTTCAGCATTTCCGTTTTTAAAAGACACTCAAAATTGTAAGAGCTTACTAACGCAGGCAACTTCAAGTGTTTTCTTTCTTATTATGTGGAACGTGCAGATTCGCTACGTGCTACTTTTAACCATGGAGCATTTGAGAATCTCCTAAGCATCTTAAGGCAAAACAGAGAGTTTAGCTACATTTAAACTTATGACAATCAACACACGTTTTTTTGAGTATTTCGTTTCCCTGCGTTTTGCCGTCACAATTAACCAAATTAAAGAAATAATGTAAATAACATCATTTAAAAACAGAAAAGATTATATCTTAAGTATTTCTTACAAGGCATGTTGATTTTATGTTCTCTCAAAAAGTAATATATAAGTATTGTTTGTATGGTCTTGTTATTTATGGTCTCGTTTGGTTGTCCGAACAAATAATTGTTACATAATTTCACAGTGATTCGAAATTATGTACCTTAAGAAACGGAATAGCAAGTAAAATTAGGTTTTATTACATACTCAACAAATACAACAAAGCTTGTCTATATATTTATTTCAACGTTGATGAAATGTTTGAAAGTTTTTAAATAAATGAAGTAAGACGACAAACGCGAGTAAGCACGACTAAATTAGTTTTCCGTTTGTGTGAAAGTTGGGAACGGATGTAATTTGACATAAAATTATGTCGCCAACTTTTTGGTAAAAAAACAAAATTGAAATCGGGTGAAAGAGGTGCGAAATTTGTTGATCTTGAAAATTTTTACATTAAGGTTACATCTGGTAATGGTGCAGGAGTCGGCGGATCTGCTTGTAGTGATAGACAAGTCCTTGAAATGCTTATTTGGTATCTTTATAAAACAAGTATAAACCTTATTTTGGTGATAGGCAAAAATATGTGATAGAGCTGTTAGAATGTGCGTAATGTTTACAGTTTGTACCATGTGAGAAACAAAAATACTACACCTGCTTCCTATTGGCGAAGTGGAGGAAGAACATGAGTATTTTTCATCAAAAACTTGTGTTGCCTGATTTTTTTATATTGTGTTCAATGTAGTAAAAAATACAATCATATGTGAATAAAAATTGGAAAATTTTATCAAAAAGGACTTTTCATAAAACTAACTTTATTAAAGTTTTGGCCGTTTGATATGGCTGAAATAAGGCGTTCGCTTCGGATGCACTTGAGAACTGGGGACAAGTGAGGGATTTTCACCGTAAGCTGAAAATTCGTTGGATATTTCTAATCCATTCATTTATATATGACTTGTACTCAATGTTCAAATATGTAATAAACAGTTTCCAGACCTTTTTTAACATATAAGCTGTACGGGGGTTGTTTGTTGCCCTAACCCTCCCCCTACCCTCAAATGGGCATTTTGCCCCTTCAAGTGGTAATTCCTTTGTTAAAAATAGACAATGCAAACAGAGCGACATCTCTAGATGATGAAAATGTATTAAAATTTGCATTTTCTTTATAAATCTCTGCTTAATTTCTGAATATGAATTACCAAGCGCAAATTACTTGAAAGAGACAAATATCTTTGAAGTCTCGACGAACTTTTTTTGTAATAAATTTGAAAAGTTTTTTTGCACCGTTTGTAGAAATGTGGCCATTTAAGGAATATATGATTATTTAAAAACATCATTGATGAATTTAATTGGATTACAAACAGATTTATTTTAACCTGTGAATAGCATTTTGAAGAAAGTCATCTATAAAACATTCTACTGCAAAAAAACTATCATTTCAATATTTGCGGTAGTTAAAGTTTCACGAAAATAAGGTGAGCTGTATGTGCAATAGTGTGCGAAAAGCTTTTTTTGTTGTCCATAATTTGAATATTAAGTTGTCAATTAAATTGTCATTGTTAAGACAGAAGTTATAGAAATGGTAAAGAATATTTAAGATTTTTTATTAATGTATAATCTGCAACGACGCAAGAGTTGAAGACAGCCATGTAAAATAATCATTTTAGATTCATAGCTCGTCCTTTCAAGATAAATGTCAAAGAAACAGAGTCTTGATTATAAAAAATCAAGAAAAGCCATAGAATTTATATTTATCGTGCACAAAAACTTTAATCACTGCATTAAAATTAAAATAAAATCCAAGAAGTAGCAGGTATGTTGTTAAAGTCAGGCTATCGGTTTTCTGCAAGTCCATCTATCACAATTAAGCTAAAAAAAACTGACAATCTACAGCGAACCTCATTTCTCAAAATAAAGTCGATATAAAGTTTAGAGATAAGTTTTTCCATTTCTTTAGAGGCATCTCTTAGATTTCATGGCAACAAATCACATGATTTTTGTGACACCTCTGAATACCGCAAACAATGATTTTATATCATTCCAGCAACATCATGTTCTGTGTAAATTTTTGATTCTGAAGATTATGCATACATTAAAATAAATCGGTTTTCAATTTAGTCATACATACAATAACGTTCTCATTTAAACATGTAAATTTTCTTTGGGCAGCTCTTTTCCCACCCATCTTTCTTGTATGATTTACACATTTTAGTCAATCGTTCATTTTCTGCTTGAGTAATTGCCTCACTTGCAAAAATCTTGTTATGTATTCTTATTTCGTCTCTAAGCTCCAGCTAATTATTAAATGCAGTTCAAAGGTGGTTTCCAATGTCAGAAAATCAACACATTACTCTAAAGTAACGATTTTGGGAAGTACTTCATATTCTCTTATTTGTGTCCACGTTAATAGACAGGAATAATAACAAAATTACATTGTGGATGTCACTGAAACTACGAATTTAAAATATATATAAGAACAAAGTTTCATCTCCTGAACTGATATTTGATGAAACAGTGTTCTGGAGATGTTTCTAAAGTCAAGAGCAGTATTAAGTTTGCTTGTTTCGTGTTACATATTTAATGTGAATGCAACAACGAGATAACATGGCTCCGTCTACAGTTGCTCATAATAAACTTGCTCAGCCAACTTAACAACGAGCTACATATTCGAGCACAATTATACAGAAAGAAAAGGAACGCGCCTGAAGAGTTCTGGCTAAGTACCTGGTCATTAACCCGTATAAAAGTGAAAATAAACAACAATATTTCAACATTAACAGATTTATATGGAAAGATGTAACATCGAAAATTGTTTGAGATAGTAAAAACTGGCTGATTATTTTGATAAGATAATATTGTGACCCTCCCCGCAATCATCAGTATTCGCTGTCTTTGTTTATGCTGTCTACAACAGCTGCACTTCGTTCTCGTCCGTCCATATCAACGCATTCTTCTTCATGTTTCTCGCAATTTTTAGGCCTATTTGCTGCGAAGATCTTGCCACTATCAAAAATTTCATACATTTCGTTTTATATAGACAATGAACAGCACAAGGCATCATCGGAATTTACTTGATTTCCTTGTTCTTTGTTGTTTGTCATGTAATCTTCTACGTAACCTTTTATTAGATTACAAATATTCCCATAAAATTGTGTCGTAGTACGAAAAATTTGCGTTGTGAGCTTTTGATTCAAATTTATATCGATTGATACTTGTGTTGTTGTCTTTGGTGTCATTGTGTCTACATTTGTACATCGAGCTGTTTCTAATTTTGGTAAGTTTATTTTTACATAGATATTAGCCTTTACATTTAAGTACGTAGTAAGGAAATGCCTTTAAATTCAAATAAGCATTATCTTAGTTAATGGTAGACGTTTTCTTAACGATGACTCATTGAATAAACAGAAAGCTTCTTCTGATAAAGTACAACTTGTGCAGCGATTTATAATAAACCTTTCTTAATGTTGCTTAAAGTACAACTTGTGCAATGATTTATAATAAACCTTTCCTATGACAGGAAGCGAATGCACTAAGCTTGCTTGGAGACTTTTATATCTCGATTATAGAACTATTAAAAGGGAAAAATTGACCTCTCAATTAGAAATAAAATCAAATTAGGCGTGGGGATATACTAAGTCATCCTTGAAATAAGGGAAAGACATAATCAATCTCGATCTTTGTTGTGAGGTAAAATTATTTACGTGTAGTAAATAATAAAACTCGACCTGGTATAATTAGTTAAAATGCATAAAATTTTATTTCATATTTAAAGCCTTATATCAATTTGAAGTCCATACAATTGTAATTAAAAATTTAATACAAACTCTATGCCTTTAAACTAAGAAAGATTACTATAATTATAAAAGAAGGAAGGAAGACTGATAATATATAATAATACACAAATATGCGTGTTCTTTCCTCTATTATTTTTGATGGGATTTCTAAATATTATTCCCCATTACAGTCAAAAATGTCAAATAAGTCCCATTCAGTTGCAGCTACGACAAAACATGAATAAAAGTGATAAAATATTTCAAAAGAGTGATACAATACCTATTGCAATAACATTTATAGTTTACATACATTAACTATCAATATCTTTAACACTCCCACTCAAACTTCACATAGGCCGTTTTTATGCCTAAGATGAACAATACATCTGGGCGATTTAAGACAAATCTTTTTAATGCGTCTCTTAAAACGTCAAAGGATAAAGACGACCACAAGACGAAGTAACCGCCCAGACGAATTTAGCGTTTAATTCGTCTTGACAGACGAACTTAAGTTGTAAAATTGTCTCGATCAATTGATTTTGCCGTTTAGTTTTGAGTTAAGTCGACCTGTCTTTTTGTTGGATAGTTTAACGGTTAGATCTATAAATCGTCCATATGTATTATCCGTCTTAAGCATAAGAACGGCCACTGATTGATTTAATATTCATCCTCTCTCTGACAAAATGATAAGCAAGGTCGATGTGTTTAGTGTTACAATTTAGTCGTTCCTTGATTGTCCTCTGGCAAAAAAACATGGTTTTCCTTTACTCGATAATTTTCAAGTGATCTTCTTGACATAATTATTTTTCGCGTTGCTAGACTAGCACCTCATAATCTGCTTAGGTAGACGATTTAGATACGATTGAAGCAGGATTGTCGCTTACTACATTAGCATTCTTATTCTTAACTTGGCTCTTGGCAATGATCTGCAAATGTTGGATGCTCATCACACTTATCATAAACTAATGTGTAGTCACTTAGTTCCTTGAAATTTTCTTGACATAACATTCGTAAAGTAGAAAAAATTTTTGCGGGATGCTGGATGACGATTCAAGAAACAATGAGACTGTATTCATTCGAATATAACTTTGACATAGATATAGGATATTTACAATGTCGCAACTTTTGACGACAAACGTTGATTCGTTACCACGCATTAATATAAAAAATGCGTATCCAATACGTCTCTCAAGACTTCAACACAAAGCGCTACAATGTGTTAATGCGTATCGGAACACCATTTGCAGCCTCTCTATATACTAAACATTCTACAAGATAAAATTACAAAGTTTCCTCTTTCCCACGATTGGAAAGAATGTTTTCCTCAGTAACTGAGTGTTTTGAGCTTCCCATGCCAAATGCAAGTGCGTAGTTCATAATTCATAGTTCATAACGTATAAATAGTTTCCGTTTTACCATCCTATTACGTCTTTAGTATTGTTTTGCTAACAGCAAGAGAAAGATATTTCCCTTGCTTTTGTTATTTTACTTCCCATGTACTATTTTATGCTGATAAGTTTTACATCCCCTGTTGACATCACACAAACACATATTACGAACAAACATAAAATTTCACAACAGCTGCTTGCCTGATCTGTGTAACTTGTTTTGCTATTGGTTTATCTAAAATTAGTTCATTTATTTCAAAGGTCACCTACAATCTTTTTTCTCTAAAAATTGCAGGTCTTATTTCCTTTATTTTTCCTTGCTATATTTTTGTACTATAGCTAATTATATATTTAATTATATATATTTAATTGGCAATTTGTATTTTTTCCTAGTCTCCAATGTTAGTCTCCATGTCACGTCTTTATGCATTCTCTGTTTTACACATGTCAAACTCAAAATATCATAATATTTTACTTTTTAGCATTCCATGCTGAGCAAATACTTGTAATGCACTATCATGTTTAACATTATTCGTGTCCTACTATCATTTTGCATCCTCCAAAATTTCCTCTTGAAACCACTGACGACTCTTTGCATCAACCGAAACTAATCTTGATTTTCTTTTGCATATAACAATGAATTATCTTTTACTCAAAATTCACGAGCGCAAAAAATATTATGCATTTGGTTTTCTTTAAATTCTTTTTGTTGGTGCAAATATTCCTAAATCCTGCAACAATAATCATCAGCAATAATTTGCAGCATTTGTGAAATTTCATTGGCATTTTTCCATTAAATTGTCCAACAAAGTGTGAAGATCATATCTTCATTTAATTTCAAACACCGCACTGCCTATAACAATCTTTCGTATCACATTCCTTTGACGGAAAAACATTAGCCCAACAAATTGACCTGCTCTCTACTGTGTGAGCTCAGTTGGTTAGAGCACTGCACCGGCACCGCACAGGTCATGGGTTCCAATCCCGTTGAGTCACCTGAATTTTTCAGGTTCATGAGACATATCTTCATTTAATATATATATTTATATATCCTACATTATATATTAGTATATATCATACATTATTCTTAGCAAATATCACACATTACACATGCATGTTATTAATTGGTGTGTTCAACTTTGAACCTTCCTCACCAACCTCATTTAAGGGAAACCTTCCTCACGGGTGGTACCCATCTAGGTGAATGATAGAATCGTTGCCTATGTCCTTTAACATCAAGTCATCTGCAGTGTAAAAGATCTTAAAGTGACTTAAAATAGGTTCTAGGATATTTGATAAAGATGAATTAATAAGTAGTACATTAATAAAGTGTTTCAAAAAGTGTTGGAGTATAAGTTAGATTGACATGGTATGCTTTGTGAGCCTGGTAGAGAAAAATTTATATATTTGTAATTGAAGGTTGAATTTGTTTGATGAGATCGGCTTAGTGTTTGTGTACGTTGAATTAAGTTTGAGAGACATTGAGTTTTGCCAGTATCTAAGCTGTTGAAACAAGAGCAAGTGCATTTGGATTTGCAATTAGTATTTTTAGTTGGTGTTTCTAGAAGGGTGAATTTTGGCTATAAAGATGAGTGAAATTTTGGCTAAGTGGATAAGTGAATTTTTACAGTAAAAATGTAAGACTATAATAAAAAAAATTATACAACACTTTTTGTAAACATACAACATTTTTATTCTTTTATTCATTTGTTTTTAGAATGATTGTTTTTTGAAACATGCAGTCAAGGGAAGAGAGAAACAGGAACTACTTACACAGAATAATAAATGAAATTGTTCAAAAGAAGCTCGCTGAATTTTTTATCACCAAGTGGAACAATAAATTCAAAACAACCTATGGAGAGTGGGATAACTCCATACAAATTGGTAAAAAACTATACAATACAGAATCAACGAGAAAACGACCGAACAAGGATGCTATCCAATCTAATTTTCAGAATGGAAATCCCAGCTGTTGGGATTGTACGACATTATTTGATGCAATACTTTTTTCCAACGCAATTGGAAACAATCTAAAATCATCTGAGAAAAAAGCTTGGGATGCTGTCGATGATCTTCGTGTTGTTCGAAATACCATAACCCACGATAAAACAGTCACTTTATCAGACTTTGATTTCCAAGATCTGGTGAGTAAAATTGAAAAATCATTTTACATACTAAATTTTTCCATTAGTGACATAATAGAAATAAGAACTGATAGAAACAGCTTTGAATCTTTTAAAGTTCTTCCTTGTAAGCCCAATCATTTTGTCGTTGAACGCTCTGAATTACGAGATCAGATTGTAAATGATCTTAAGAAGTTAAGGAACGAGAATAATAATATGCTTACCTATTATTATATTTCGGGCAATAGTGGCAGTGGTAAATCTCAACTTGTAAGACAAGTTTTCGAAAAAATGTTTCAACTGTGGGATTTCGAAAACGAAATTTCATTTGTATGGACTTTTGATGGAAAAGACGTGAATTCTCTTTTCACAACTTTTCGTGATCTTTGTTACCGTTTGAATTGTGATAAGGCTATGCTAAAGAGCGTCTTAGAGGAGCATATTGCTCTAAAGGAAAAAGTCAAGAGTTTGCGATCCTTACTTTCCACAAGAATAAAACCTTGGAATAATTGGTGGGTAGTTGTTGACAACGTTCATCAGCTGAGCGAAATCTTACCGTTGCTACCACAATTAGGTGAAAATGAGTGGATGAATGGACAAATTTTATTCACTGTCCAGAACACAGATGCTGTAACTCATGATGAAATATTAAGTAAGCATATTTCTATAAGTCATGGAATGAACGAGGAAGAATGTCGTGAGCTATTAGGTCATTACACCAAAACAGAAAATGCAGATGCGGATTTGTTAAAGGAAATAATGCATGCATTAGATCGTCAACCGCTGGCCTTGGCTGCTGCAGGCTATTACGTCAGTAGTATAAACAAAACAAACTATAGTTTCAGTTGGAAGCAATATTTGGAGAAACTGTATTTGGGAAAATATAATGAATCAAGCAATACCCTGGCAAAAGTCAACTCTGTATATCCTAAAACTATGTTTCAAGCTGCAGTTTTTGCTGTTCAACAAAATGCTCAAATTTCGACAGCTCTGTCAAATATCATTCGACTTTTTTCCATGATATCTTTTGATCCATTACCTCGGGATTTAATAGTTTATCACATTCAAACTATTGATCCTAATGAAAAAAAGGAAGATATATCTCTAAAATTGGCACATTGCTCATTATTTTTGTATTCAGAAAACAACGATATTCGTTTGCATCGCGTTGTTCATGAAGCTATATATTTCTACCAATTTGAACTTTTTCATGAAGAGGAAGAAAATGAGCAATTTTGCAACACAAGTTGTTTTCAACAGACAGTAAGTCAAGTTGTCCAAACACTTTACAAATTTAAAGGCAGAGATGACCAAGTCTTATTAATACCACATCTTGAAAAATTTTTAGAGCTGTTATATGCAAACAATGTGAAAATTGACATAAATATTTTACAAATTTTTAAATACTTTGTCAGCACTTTAAGGTACTTTGGAAAATACAATATTGCCTTAGAACTCCTAGAAAATCTAAGAACACAAATACGTACAAAAGACTTTTATGAGACAACTTGGTGTTTGAATGAGCTTGGTCTTTTACATCATAAAACTGGAGCATATGACAAAGCTAAAAAACTTCTAAAAAAATGTTTGGAAATTCAAGAAGAAAATCTAAAGCTCGGAACAAATCATGTTGATGTTGCAGCGTCTTTAAACAATCTTGGTTTGGTGTACGATTCAACTGGAAATTATGACCAAGCCAAAGTGCTCTATGAAAAAGCTTTAGAAATTAAAAAAAAGAAACTCGGTCCGAGACATGTTTTCGTTGCTACGTCGTTGTACAATCTTGGTAGAATTTACCAAAAAACTGGACATTATAGCAAAGCTAAAGAACTTCATGAAGAAGCACTGGAAATACGAAAAGAGTTGCTCGGTGAAAATCATGTCGACGTTGCTGCATCTTTAATTGATCTTGGTATAATTTACGATGAACATGGAGATTATGACAAAGCTAAGGAGCTTTATGAAGATGCTATGGAAATCAAAGAGAAATGTTTAGGTTCGAACCATGTTGATGTTGCTTCGTGTTTCAACAATCTTGGTTTGGTTTACAAAGATACTGGAGAGCTTGATAAAGCTAAAGAATTTTTCGAAAAAGCTGTGGAAATTCTAAAAAAATCACTTGGTCCCAGTCATGTTGATGTTGCATCGCCTTTGAACAATCTAGGTTCAGTCTACGAAAAAATTGGAGATTATAAAAAAGCTAAAGACCTTTATAAGCAAGCCTTAGAAATTAAAAAAATACGTTTAGGTTCAAATCACGTTATTGTTGCCACAACTTTATACAATCTTGGAAGGTTGTACAATAAAACTGGAGAATATGACAAAGCTATAGAATTTCATGAAGATGCGTTGAAAATTCGACAAGAAATGCTGTCAGTTCATGCAGATGTTGCTTCGTCGTTAAATGATCTTGGTTTGCTGTATAGTACAATTGGAAAATATATGAAGGCCAAAACGTTGCATGAAAATGCTCTAAAAATTCGAAAAACCGTGTTCGGTCAAAATCATGTTGATGTTGCAGCATCGCTAAATAATCTTGGCTTGGTGTATAAAGATACTGGAGAGCTTGAAAAAGCTAAAGAGTTTCATGAAAAATCTCTGGAAATTCACAAAAAATTGCTTGGTCCAGATCATGTTAATGTTGCAGCATCTTTAAATAATCTTGGTATGGTGTACGAGAAAACTGGTGAAAATGAAAAAGCTAAAGAATATTATGAAAAAGCTTTGAAAATTAAACAAAATAGTCTTGGTCTTAATCATGTTAGTGTTGCTACAACTTTATACAATCTTGGAAGGCTGTACGATAAAACTGGAGAATATGACAAAGCTATAAAATTTCACGAAGATGCGTTGAAAATTCGACAAAAAATGCTGTCAGTTCATGCAGATGTTGCTTCGTCATTAAATGATCTTGGTTTGCTGTATAGTACAATTGGAAAATATATGAAGGCCAAAATGTTGCATGAAAATGCTCTAAAAATTCGAAAAACCGTGTTCGGTGCAAATCATGTTGATGTTGCAGCATCACTAAATAATCTTGGCTTGGTGTATAAAGATACTGGAGAGCTTGAAAAAGCTAAAGAGTTTCATGAAAAATCTCTGGAAATTCACAAAAAATTGCTTGGTCCAGATCATGTTAATGTTGCAGCATCCTTAAATAATCTTGGTATGGCGTACGAGAAAACTGGTGAAAATGAAAAGGCTAAAGAATATTATGAAAAAGCTTTGAAAATTAAACAAAATAGTCTTGGTCTTAATCATGTTAGTGTTGCTACGTCTTTATTCAATCTTGCACGGTTATACCACAAAACTGGAGGATATGAAAAAGCTATAGAATTTCATGAAATGTCTTTTGATATTCGAAAAAAAGCGTTTGGTCCAAATCATATTAATCTTGCTGGGTCTTTAAACAGTCTTGGTATGGTCTACGACACAATTCGACATTTTGAGAAAGCGAAAGAGCTGTATGAGAAGGCCTTAAAAATTGAAAAGAATTGTCTGGGTTCAAATCATGTTATGGTAGCTGCGTCTTTATTCAATCTTGGTAGGGTTTACCATAAAACTGGAGATTATGACAAAGCCAAAGATTTTCATGAACATTGTCTAGAAATTCGAAAAAAGTTGCTTGGTCCAAATCACATTGATGTCGCTACGTCTTTAAATAATCTTGGTATAATGTACGACAAAATTGGACATTATGACAAAGCTAAAAATTTTTACGAAAAGGCTTTGGAAATCAAAAAGCGTTGTCTTGGTCCACATATGTAAATGGTGGTTATAAGCAACGAAAAATGAAGATTATTTGCATCTATATAACTTTAACACATTTTACATGCACATATTTATATAATAATTCATCTGTAAATATTAAATGCCGCTTATAGATGGGATCTTTGTGGTCATGTTGAAAATAATTGTATTTAGAAAAAAATTTATGTATATCTAGACAAGTTCCCATGCATACACACCATTTTTTGTTTAAGTAAGGACGGTATTTATCTTTCCATGAGCGAACTTTCCTTGATATACTGAATAACATGGTACATGGAAGTTGCAAAAGTAGAGAAATAAATTGTCGGCATAAAATGAATAAAAAGAAAATTGCTAAATCTCATGAGTTGAACTCCAAAGTAAATACTGTTGGGCACAGGGCTCAATCGCTGCACAAGCGGAAATGATAGTTACTAACAGGCGCAACAAATAAAACAGTAAATAGTCAAGGGCCTGTTAAGAACTTTGTATGCATTTCATTTACCGTAAGTTATCTCAAATGATATTGGTTGGAATGACCATGACAAACAACATGGCATATATCCATTTCCTCACTCCGGGACGAAAAACCTGAAATTGAGACCCCCTGAAACGGCAGTGTCGACATGGCTTTAACTTCCAGAAACAAATAGCAATAACAATTCTGCAGTATTAATGGTGTTTAGAAGGTTCACTTTTAAGGGTGGTCGTGAGTGGAATGCCTGCAGCTATAGAACACTTAGTCAGCAATTTTTAACGGAGCTCATACCCGTGTCAGTTAGTCCGTGAAAGTAAACCGAGCGCGCGCGTGTCAACCGGAAACAGAGTAAGATTGCTTGTGACTGGTTTATTTGATGAATGGGAAATGAGGCAATGGATTATTTGAAGGTAAAAATTGCTTGTTATAGGGTAATAAATATCAATATTATTCCCTTCTTTGCCGATATAGAAAAAAGGTCACAATTTTATAAAGTGAGTAGTTTTCTTCTTACAATAAAAATTGTTAAAGTGCAGGGCCGACGGAATAGAGTATATAATATCAAGTCTTGGTGGTAAAGACTATTACGGCTGCAATGTTTATTACCCTTCGCAAAGACGTGTTCCATGATGCCCAACAAAAAAAGAATATTGACTTACTTTGATAATGATACATTGGAAATTGAAGAAGATGTAATGAAATTGTTCTTTGATAGTTTAAGTGAACTTAGTCCTAAAGTAAAGGTATAGAATTGATCAAGTATTCATACAAGGATTGGAGAAACATATTTTTGACGGAGCAAAAAGACCAACTGAAAAACGAGACAATGAACTTTTTGAACAAGATTTATAAATCTTTTGCATTCTTAATTTTTCAAATGACTAGTGAAGCTTACCGTATGAATACTTTAAAAATAAAAATAAAAGTTACTACGATGCGAAATTGTAAGAGAGCATGTAAATTAAAAAATACAAACTACCTTCGTGAAACTTGGAACTATATAGTTCAACAACATTCGATAGATGAGCATACCGTTAAAAGTATCATCGCAATTCCCCTTGTTCAGGACAGAATGGTTAATTCTTATGCAAAATAGCTAACCGTTATAGATCACCGACTAAAAATATCAAAAATCGTAAATTTTAGTTAGTTCTGCTTTGTGAATAGCTGACAAAGAACAGACTTATTTACTGCACGTGCATGTTTATTGTGTGAAAAAGAACTTGCCCAATGCAGCCTAAGGCCTAACTGGAATTTATTCTGTTTAAAAAAAGAGAAATCAAACACTTTTTGATCAACAGTATCGTTTGCCATAAAAACTAAATTATCTCAATAATCTTCGATAGTTGCGGTTAATGAAAACAAAAAACGTCAGTACTATATGCACGTAACTATGTTGTAAAAATTTGTTATTCATGCTTCATGAAGCACTGTCAAATTATTCAGCGTCATAAAAATCGTTGCGACTTTCGTTGATTTATTTTCTCGTGATATTGCTAATTCCGTCTTATGAATGTATTGAAGTTTGAGCTGCTTTAGTCTTGAGTTACTCAAATGCTTTGTGTTAAAATACAACAGTCTCCTCGACGGATGAAATAGTTTCATTTTTAAACATGATTTCGAATACCCAACTTTAACATTTTGCGCACGCGCTCCATACGTGGCTGATGATTATCATATTTCAAGATAAAAAGATAGAAACAGAAACCATGATAAAGGATTTTGTACCACATAAAAGTTTTCTCACACTATAAACAACAGTTGATTTTAATTTATTCAACATTAAAATATTAACATAATTCAAAGTTCTCATAACAAAAATTCTTTGATCACATTTAATCATCTTCATCATTGACAGCGTCAGTAAAGCTGTAGTCTTTTAAAAGTCTGTTAATAAGGAGCTTTCTCTTATCAACGGCTGCTTCCGTAGCTTCCAGTGGATCAAAGTCTTCGTTTTTATAAACTGTTTCTTTGTATGCAATATTTTTCTGTGGATGGGGTCTTTTTTCAATTGGTTTATCCACATAAGATTATGTATGTAAATGCTTTCTACTTTTCCAACAGAAATAGCATTCTTAGGAACAATTTAATAAATCATGTGCGCACGCACAGTCCACTCGTTCATGCGTGTTCCACTTGACCAATTATTCGAGTTTATAGTCAAGACAACGACCAACTGTACTTCTAGCACCGATTTTGAAGTAATATCATGCTTGATAACACTTTAAAAAGACATCTACGCATGCGCAGTATGCTCAAGCAGGTGTGTTCTGCTTCACCGATTGTCCAAGTTCATAATCAAGACAACAACCAACTGGATCTAATAACACCAATTTCGGAGTAAATAGCTCGCCTAGTCGTAAGTTAATAGAGAAATCATCTGCGCATGCGCTTAAGCATACACAGTCATTTCATTAACTGTTCACAGTCATTACAACGAAAACTTATATGTACTTACACTGCATTTGTGGCAATTAGCTCTTATAGCTGCAAATTACCAAAGAAATCATCTGGGCATGCGCAGTAACAATGTCAATCATACCATAACTTTTGTAAGCCTTTGAAATTATGTATATACATATATAAAGTAAATACTTCATATAGCAGATGTCAACTAGCAGTGGAAGCTGGGTGCGATTTGGTATGCAGAGCCTTAGGGGCCCAGACATCGGTCGCGACCGCACTCTCCCTGCGTACTTCAAGCAAAGCCTATCGCAGGTGATCTCGGGGTCTGATGGGGGGAAGCTTACTCTTGCATCTCCCAAGTAGGATGGCGTGGAGGAGCCGAAATCTCATACCGAAACGTTAACATACGGCGTTCTAGTGCCTTACGTATAAGGGTATCGGGAAGCATGGACCGAAAACAAAGTTTTTTTGATTTTGAATTTTATCTTTTTATTTACAAAATAAACTAATGTTCATAACATAAACCAAGAAATGTTTCAATAACTTCTTCTGACACTGTGCCTTATAATTTAAGACAGCCTTAAACATGTTTTATACAATTTTTATTGGTTTATATCTTTCTGACTTAATTCTCTCATTTAGTGTTTCTCGCGTATCACAAGCTAACCATCCATGGGGTTCATGACTGACAGAATTATCTGGTTCCCTTAATTAACATGAGACACTCTAGTGCTCAACTATCTCGGGTATCGGGAGGCATGGACTGAAAACGGGATTTTCATTTTTTCAACATTTGTCATTTTTCTTTAGAAGAATTCTTCTCAAAAAAAGAAACTAGAACATCCAAGGGTACTGCAGAGGTTCAAACAACTTCTGTCTTTTTGACTTATAATATAAACCAACTCTAAATTTGTTTATACGTTTTTTACTTGTTACGTTTTACAATGTAACTTTCTAATAACTATCTCGTGATGAACGAGATCCTGCTTATACAATATGACTCTCTCATGAAACATCAAAAACATTTTGAATTATTGTGCGCAGAAACCCTATCAAAGATCATCGTCTCCACAGCTTCAATTAAAAAAATAAAATCTTAGTTAAAAATGGCGGTGTACCATGAAATCAGTAAGTGTGGGGAAATCTTATAAAATAAAGAAAGAATACGACAGTTTATGATTCTTAATTACAATTGTTCACAAATTGAATTTTAGAGGTTAAGATCGTATAATATAAGTATGTTTAAAATTTTAGGCTGCTGTTGGATCAGTTAGAAAAATGAATTGAAAAATCAAAAACACTTTGAATTGTGTTTCAGTCTCTTCCTATCAAAAAACATCATCTCCACAGCTTGAAATTTGTAAATCGGTTAAAGATAATTTGTTTTTACAGTACCATGAAATCTGTTCGTGGGGGGGGGGGATATATTACATTATGGGGGACAAATGTAATGGAGACATATGAAACACAGAAATATCGCCAGAAAGAAAATGATACTTTAAACAAAACTATACAATCTTTGAAGGTTAGTCAAAAGAATCCATACCATCTTCTTTGTACATCATCATTGGTTCATTCAATTGATCTTTCTCAATAACTTCGTCTGTTTGAGCTACAACCTTAAAAATATGATCCCCAAGTATTTTACCAAAGACAAAACTAAATAATATATAATAGTATTGTATATACGTAAAAATACACAACGACTAAACGACACATGCTCTTAACGTGTTGATTGAAAATGAACGAAATTCAAAGTTCTGAAGGTAACTCTTGTGTAAGCGCACATCATCATGCTTTCTAAGACAATCTTTTAACTACAGACATTAAATACTGTATCAATTAGTACTGTCAAAATAGTAAGTTTTCATAAACAAACCTTAAAAACGTCACGTCACTAAAGATACACTTACGTAGGGAATGATTTTGCTGGTATAAGTCACTATATATAAAAAGTCGTCATATTACAAAAAATTACCTGAGACAACATTAAATCCAAGCGACCTTGTAGCTTACATAGACGACTGTGAATACCAACTCGTGATTCAAAAAGTTGATATAAACCACCAAGTGAATCAACAAGATTCGGTACCTTAAATAAGTATTAATGTTAATCTCTAATGATGCTGCACAATGCTATATTATAGATACCAAATACACACTACGTACGGTCATCAAATATGCCATATGTATGCTCATTATATTTTTAATCCACGGTACCAGATAACTGCTTCTGCAAAAATACATTTCACAAATTATGAAAAAAATGAAATGAACACAAACATATTGAAAATAATATGATATTACAATGAGAATGGCATTACATAACATCACGATTTCACGAAATGTTACCTCGACGGCGAGGATTGTATACGTTGTACTAGCTGTAAAGAACAAAAAAATATCGGAAGAATCAAAGTCAACTCTTAACAAAACGATTTCACATTAAAAACAACAAAACAAAACGAACCTCTGTCAAAAACGGAATAACATAATTCACAGGTAAACGTCGTAAAGTACTCTGAATAACTTTAGGTTTTGTGCTGCCATTCAGAACGTCCTATCAATCAAAAACAAAACATGTCTAACACAAAAGCAAATAATTGATAAAGAAAAGATAAAAAATCATATATGACAAACCTCGAGCAGTTTTTTATCTTGACTATTTAATGCTTGAACGAGCATCTGAGTTAAAGAACCAACTTTTGGAGTTGAGCCTCTTGTAGAACTGGTTTGAAAAAAAAAGATTTCAGTATTATTAAAGACAATTTTTTCATCAAATTTATGGTAATCAAACGTACGTTGTTCCCTCGGACGTTGACGGTGTTAAACTCATTGTTTTTAAACGATCTTCCATCGACGGCTAAGAATGACAATCATCAAAATTTTATATACATACAGGCGACAATATTTAAAACTGTACAACAGTTATTTTGCAAAATTGTTCCAATTAAGTCAAAGTTATATATAGTTATTATTTGGGATAATTTTGACACAGAATTTGCAGAACGAGACATGATTCCAACCAATAGTTTTTTATAGTAATTATGAACATGATAATGTCATATTGACGTGATCTATTTATATCAAGTACACCTAAGTCAGGACAAAATAATCGACCGCAAATGCTACGTCTTCACCAAGGTACTATAGTCATGCGATGTATGGTAACGTTTGTATGTAACAATGTATGAACGTTTTATGCAGTGCGGTGTTTAAAATCAAATGTAGATATGATCTTCGCACTTTTGCTGGACAATTTAAGCAATTGTCTCATGAACATGAAAAATTCAATGACTCACGGGATTCGAATCCATGACCTCTGCGGTGCCGGTGCAGTGCTCTGACCAACTGAGCTATGAAGTCACACAGTGGTGAGCAGGTCAATTTTGTTGGGCTCATGTTTTCTCGTGAAAGGAATGTCATATGAAGAATGTTTTATGCAGTGCGTCATATCCCGTTGAGTCACCTGAATTTTTCAGGTTTATGAGACAATTGCTAAAATTGTCCAGCAAAAGTGCGAAGATCATATCTACATTTAATGTACGTATAAATTGAAAGATTTGAACCTGGGAGTGTTGTTATATGCAATGCTTTTTCATAAATGTAGGTATGTACACCGTCCTGGTTAGAAGTGAAATCCCGAGGGCTTTTTGTGTTTGTGTTGACTGACATTTTGACAATCTCAGTATTCGTCCACCTCACAGTCAAGTGAAGAGCACTGCTGAAGATGTCAACAAAACATCTTTTAACACAAAAATTAGCATTCCTCGGGACTTCAACAACCTGCAAAGTCTACATCTACATTCAATTTCTATGTATTAGTCAAAAACTAAATTTCACAGAGCTAAAATGAAGTTGACCGGTCATCTTCACTGAAGACATTTTGCCTGTCATTTTAAGCCATGCACAGACACTTATGTGTTGTACTCATTGACACAAACCTCGTTGCTTCTATTTCTTGTTGATTCCTCATTTATATGAGTACTACTACCACTTTCTCCACATGACGGCTGAGCAAGAGCCATATTCTCAACACTAAGGGTTGTTATAAGATCATTCTTCACAACAGCTTTGTTTGTGCCAGATCTTTCATTGTTATTTTCTTCTCTAAGAAGTAAGCCAGGCCTGTAATCTCGCACCAGACAAACATTGTCATCCAAGGTTTCGTAGTTCTACAAAACACAAAATATATAAATCTTAAAATGTTAAGAATATAAATGAATGATGCTACATCTTTATGACAGAGTAATTTTCAGTAATGCATACATAAAAGTTTGACCCACACTTATATGAATTATTTAACAACTTTGTATTTTGGTGAATATACTCATAGTATGACAGACATTTAATCCCAAGCGACTGGTACAAAAATAGTATACATACAATGGTTTCAAAAACTGGTTTTGCCACAGATCCATAAGCAATAAGCAGTGAAGGCTCCAAACCATCAACAAATTGAGCAGATATAACAGGAATCGGCTCAGGTGTTGTTTCCTGAAGATGATGACACATTCCAAGTAAAAATTTGAAAAACTCATTATGAATTAGTTTATAATCTATCAAAAAATATCACCTTTGTTGCTGGTGTAGCTAGTTGTAATGTTGTTTGTGGATTAACTGGTTTTTTCACAGGTCTACAGATCAAGATTGAAAGCTCTGTTGATAAATCTTTTGTAAATTCTTTACAAAATAAAGTAGTGAAAAAAAGTATATTTATAACATACCCATTAAGTGTTGGTTTAAATAATTGAAGTTGACCATCTAATGATACAACAACTAAGCAGAAGGTCTGGAATAGGAAAAAACAACAACAAAAAATGAGATAACGAAAGGTTAACAGATTACATGTATGAGCTTACTGCATACTTTTGATTTTCCACTAAATCGAGAGATTTCAATAGAGACAGCTTCGTCGGATATTGCAAATGAAACAACAGAGCTCCTATCAGCAGATTTCAAATCGACTTTCCTGTAAAAATATAATAAATAATCTCTCATAAAAATAGCTTGAATTTAAATTTTCGAATGATAACAAATAATTAATTTTTCACAACAAGATTCTTACCAAGCATTAACAAATCTATCTTGTTCAGCAGACGACAGAAAATAAAAACCATCTGTTTTACATGAGCTGGACATTTGATCATTTTTAAGTTGAGTGAACAAAAGTTGAGATACGGACGTTGCATGACCAGTAAATTTCTATTGAAATGATTCAACAATTATTATAAAATAGAACCACAAAAACATGAGCCATGGTTGGCCAAAATTATGTTTTTTATGTTTCACTATCTTCATTTCATTTCTCTCGTAAAGATGGCCATCATTTAATATAACACATAGGAAACACAATCATTAGACATACTTGAAGAATTTCTTTAGTTTCCAAGTCCCATAAACGAATATCATGACCAGCAGATAACAAGCAATCTCCTTTCGGGCTTACTTGTAGGGAATGAACACTTAATTTGTCACCTTTCCACTTGCTACAAAGAGATACCATGATTTTAAAATTCATTTCCTGAGAAAAATTGAACAGAAAATTGATCATAATACACAACAAAACATGACAAGTAAAACAAACCATTTAATTTCCTTTGTCTCCATATCCCATTCGGCAATGTAACGATCGCTTGAACAAGAATAAATAAAATTTGAAGTTCTATGAAATTTAACATCATTCACTCTGTCCACGTGTCCTTCTTTCTATACAAAACAAAAACGTTCAAATGACTTGGTTTTTTCCTCAAAGGCAGATATCTAACAAGCACTTCAACAGTCTTACCAGATTATTTGTAAATTCACCAGTCAAAACATTGAACACTAAAATGTTCCCACATTTACTTCCAACTGCAATCTCACAAGATGATTCCAATAGAGAGATATTTTCATTGGCTTTTCTCTTACGACGTTTCTGTCAAAATATTTAAAATGAATTCCTTAATTGTTACACATGACATATCAAGGTTCACTGAAAAATATAAAAATCAACTTTAAAACAACATTGTAAATATGCGCTATTTTTATTCTCACTTCATACACATGATAGTGAGATTATTAAGTTCATAAAATTATGTCAATGTAGAAGACCATTGCAATATTGAAAACAGTAAATGAAGACGAGTGGTACAGTGGTACTTTGGTAGACAAGGTTAACGATAGAAATTCTCTTCAGTAAATTGTGATATTACATTAATTTTAAACTATATTTTGATGCAATCAAATGTAAAGGTGAAGAATTTCAATTTGTCAATAACGTCCAACCAATGGCTCATATTTCTTACCGTTTGAATTTTTTCGCTGACTCTCCACGAAAGACATGTAAGAGGTGAGCTCTGTAAGCTACTTTTTGGGGTAACATCGTGCTTTAGTTTACCATTATTACAATCCCAAACCTTAAGACGACCATCTGGAGTAATCAGGGCGAAAAATTGACCATCATTTTCAAATTTACAACGGCAAACTCTACTGTCCATTTTCATTATTCCATATTCATATCACACGTGCAAGTATTAGCAACATGGCGTGCGTAATGCGCACAGTGACAGCGCAGCTTCTGATTGCTCTACCATTTGGAGAACTATTTACAAGCGGAAGTGACAGTTACGTAATTAGAGAACTATAAGAATCAACAATTAGTCAGTATACTTACATTTAAAATAGAGATAATTTCTTACAGGCTTTGAGACCACTATTAAGTTGTGGTATATTGCGTTTTATCAAAAGTGCTTCTAAGATGAGAAGTTTTTTGCGCATGTAAGATTTGTTCTAACCAAACATTATTCAAAAAACAAATTCAAACACTCAAGTCTTTTATGTCATGGAATGGTTTCCCTCTTAAGGCCAATTTATACCTCTTACGACATGTGTCGCGCGACACTCTGGCTTGTGCAATCTATGGGCACGCGCCATCCGACAATCAAATAAAGCATTTATAGTAAACGCGACAGCTAATGCGACAACCGCGCGAAATCTGCATACAAATTTAAAATTATGTTGACATTTACATCAAGTAGTGCATTAGCAGCATTGTTAATATTCTTTGTGAATGAATGAATTCATTTCTGCTAAAATGTCAGACGAAGAAGAGCTGGAACTCGAGGAGGAAATAATATTGCTGTTGTTGCAACGAAAAAGGAAGCGACATCGTAAAAGAAGATGGTGTGTCCGTCCACTTCATCAGTCAAGAAAAACTAAGGGAGAGTTAGTGCTGGTTCAACAAATGCGTGCTATTGATGAAGAAATGCACTTCAAATATTTTCGCATGTCAGCCAACCGCTTTGATGAGCTTGCTAACAAAATCAGACCTTTTACTAACCATGCCGGAACTCACTCTAGTCCTGTTGAACTGAAGGAGAGACTTGCAGTGACTCTCAGAATTTTGGCGTGTGGTGGATCACAGCAAAGTATTGCAGCCAGCTACCGCCTTGGATCAACGACTGTTTCATGCATTGTTTCCGAAGTATGCAAAGCAATTTGGAATGCATTGAATAGAGAGTTTGTAGGTTGCCCTTCTGGGACCTCGTGGAATGAGATTGCCCGTGATTTCTGGAGGTTATGGAACTTTCCTAACTGCTTAGGTAGCATTGACGGAAAACATGTCGTTATCAAAGCACCCCCATCTTCTGGCAGTGATTATTTTAATTACAAGTCAACCTATTCAGTTCTTTTGATGGCTGTTTGTGATGCACTGTACAACTTTTTAATGGTTGATATTGGAGCATATGGGCGAGAGAGTGATGGCGGTGTGTTTAAAGAAAGTCGATTTGGGGACAACCTACTACATGGGAGATTACAATTGCCATTGCCCCAAGTGTTACCAAATACCAATACACCTGTTCCCCATGTCTTTATTGCAGATGCCGCTTTTCCGCTGCATGTTAACATGATGCGACCATATCCAGGTAGGCATGCACAACAGATACATCAATCACATTTAATTACGTAAAATGTTACTTCCGTTTTGGTGATATGACGTCATATTCCTCATGCGACATGGCGCACGACACTTGTCGCACGAAGTATAAATTAGCCTTTAAAGTCCGGAAATTCTTGATTCATAAACTCAAAAGCAAAATCATAGCTAAAAATCCCCCCCCCCCAAACAAAATACTGAGAATAACCTTCGTAAAATTTTCATTAGAATACCATATCTAGGCAAAGGGGGTGAACGTTTGGTTTTCAATCTTCTTCGTAAACTTCCCATAAAACCTATAGTTATATATCAAACAAAAAAGACATCAAATTTCTTTCCCAAAAAGGAGAAAATTCCGGAACTCTCTAAAGCCAATGTTGTATATGAATTTAAATGTCCAGGTTGTGGTCATACATAAATAGGCAAAACTGAACGAAACCTACACACAAGACTAACCTAACATGCCACTAATTACAATAATTCTAGTGCTTTCTCGCAAAATTTACTCATTTGTCCAGACGCCAACTACATCTCACACTTTTTCTCACTTCCTGATCTTGACTCCGACCCCGATCTTACACGCGTGCCATTTAATCCTTGTAATTTGATTCCAAGTAACACCAAAATCTTATATCGCTGTAATAATAATAATCCTAATCAACTTCTCATCTTAGGAGCACTTTTGATAAAACGCAATATACCACAACTTAATAGTGGTCTCAAAGCCTGAAAGAAATTATCTCTATTTTTAATGTAAGTATACTGCCTAATTGTTGATTCTTATAGTTCTAAAATTACGTAACTGCCACTTCCGCTTGTACATAATTATATGAAAGACCATCTTATAACTATAGGTCTTTCACACAAAAAAGACACTTGCATTTTCAAAAATGTCGCTGAGTGAAAATGCTTCTTTTACTGCAGTAAGGGTTATACGATTAGGCGTTTAGACTTGATTAAACTTTCTGACTTTAACAATAGTAATAGTAACAATAGTAACAATAGTAACAATAGTAACGATAGTAACAATAGTAACAATAGTAACAATAGTAACAATAGTAACAATAGTAACAATAGTAACAATAGTAACAATAGTAACAATAGTAACAATAGTAACAATGAAACCAACACTTAAAAACTGTACTTTAAAAGTTAAATATTCGAGACGTGACAACAGTCGCTACTAAAGCGGTGCAACAATTATTGTTTCTGAAATAAAAGGAAAACTAGCAGCCAAGACGAGCCGAAAATTTTTATACAAAAACCTATAGCCTCGCTTTTTTTTGTCGTCACAGAACCTGCAGTAAACAAAATATATTATTCAAAATAAGCATACAGAAAAGAAATAACGTCTTATGTTATTATACAATGCCTGTTCAATGCAAATTCTGTGATTGGCAACAGCAAGTTTATAAAAAAGTGGCTATTTTCCTCAGTTGTTAAAAAATAAACGGTAAAATAAACGATGACGTTTCATCTCAAAATAGACAAACAATGCAACATCATAAATTGTGTTGCTCAACAAACCCCATTAAGATGGAAGAAAACTTTATGTAATGTCCTCGAAAAATTCTTGTAAAAGTCAGTTAGCTCAGCTTTGGAACACTAAATTTAATACAACCTTTAGAAAATTGTTAAAGCAGCCACGGTAATTCTAATCCAAGATTGACTGCAGTACACAGGAACTACACAGAAACTCCCCAAAAGTTTTCTCATGTGCTTACTACCAATTAGAAATAAATCACTCTTTCTAAGAAAAAATAGAACGTACGTTCTTTGTTGACGATAGCAAAGTATATTGACTTCATATGTCCTTCAACAATGTACGCTCTTTGTTGACAATACCAAGGTATGTTGACTTCATATGTCCTTTAACAAGGTACGTTTTGCTTCGCAATAGTCATCTTTAAAACTTGTTTTCAGATTTTAAATTCGTATGCTAGCTCCTCCATGTTGTTCTCGTTGTAGTTTACGAGATATTTGGGGATTTTCCATTCTGTGTCTATTTCGTTTCTACAAAAATGAAATGAAATAATTAAAGTGTGGCAAAGTGATGAAATACCCCCATGGTGTTGAATTTCTTTTGAAATTCGTCTCCAGTCCTCATTTGATGAAACAAGTAGTACGAAATTTTAAAAGAAGAAAAAATATTGTTTCGTATTTTAAATAGCAGGGTCAATATTTGTTAAAATGGGTTCGTTCCGTTTATTGTGTTTTGCCGATGACGAAGCACATAAGTCACGAATTAAATCGTGTCAGCTGAAGGCGTTTCAGAAACACGTTTTTTTATACTTGTAACTTATAATATCATTGATCACTTGGTATTACATTTGAAAAATTTCACCTTTTTTGAGATAAAAGTAAAACTTTTTAAGGGTGGAAAATTTCCATAGGGGCCGATTTTGGAAATATGAACCTCAAATCAGGGGTGGGATTTCTAAGAAATATGGCCATGGAGCACTTTGATGGGAGGGGAGAAATTTCTTGGAACACCTGCAAACAAACTGCACACGGGAATACGTTGACAATATGTGGTCAACGAGACTAGTTGATATCAATGTAATTCGAGTAGGTTCTAAAATTAGATCGGTTAGCTGATACAATTCTATAACTAACTTAACTAGTTCTTTTAAATATAAACTGAAGAGCTCCTTTTCTCTTAGCATGTTGCTATTTAATTCGCCCAAAATTTAAAATTTCTTAATCTTCATCATTATGTTGTTTAATTAGCTTATCCAATTGTTTAAAAAAATCTTAACTAGTATTTGGAGGTTGGTAAATACTTTAATAATAATTGGCTTGTGTTTTTGTTGTCATATTTCTTCAGAAACAGCTTCTAGTTCGTCAGGACTCTATAAGACCTGCTATAATTTTGGTAATGGCGTTGCTGATATAAATGCAAACTCCACCCCATTACGGAACCTGTCTGTTCTGACAAATTTATAACTATCGATGTAAAATAGGTTGTCAGGTATACTAAAATCTAATCGCATCAGATTGAAAGCAATGATATCAACGCTATATTTTTAGATAAATTGGAATGAGTTTTTTTGCTCGCATTACTTGCCATTGAATAATAATTATATTCAATAATCGAAAACTTGTTTCCCATACCGGAGGACATTAAAACAGACTCTGCTCCGTTGGTGAGGATCTCATAGAAAAATGTTTTGGCTAGATCGTGCAGATAGCTTCGGATCCTATTGTGTTTAGGAAAGAGCAGAAACTGCTTACCAAATAATTTTTCCATGTTTGTTAAAATGAAGTTTCGTGTTTTTCAACATAGATCTGTTACTCTGCTACTATGGTAATGTTGTTTTTACTATCCTCTTTATCTTTTACTTCAATTTCATTTACTTAATGGATTAGTTTGTAAGTTCTTCTCTGTATTCATGGCATGTGTCACTAGTTCCGACTTTAAAGATTGCCTTTTTTTGTCAGGTTTAGTATCATCATGTATATTTGTCACGTTTTCTATTTTACAATGTTGAGGTTCGGTGCCACTTGCCGCATTTTTGCCAAGTATTTCTGTGTACTATATAAATGATTTTTATCGTTGTGTTGGAGTATTGATAATTTTTGGTTTGCTGGTCCCAGCCATTTTAT